ACATATAAACAGTATAACAGTATATAACAGTAGTTACACATGCCACTTTGCTGAACTAACTTTTGTTTTACTTCCTCACTCTGAGACTAGTTATTGGCACCATAATGAACATCATACTTAAATGAGACATACTGTTGTTATGAGTTATTTCACAGTGCCATCAGACCGATGAAAGTAGATGGAAGGATGGTTATGCATATATGTAAAACAAAGGGCTCTTTTTTCCAGTTGGTCTGGCAGTCATTTGATGCATACCACTAAACTTGTCCAAGAGTTGAAAGTCATACATTGCTGGTGCACTATGTGTTTTGACCTTGAAGCTGAACAGCTGACAGAAGCAACGTAATTTCTGATGAAGCTTATAATTAAGCAGAACAGGCCACTTGTGTTTCAGATGCTGCAATTGATACGAAGAACTGTATGGCATCGAAGTGCAGAGAGAATGAACAGCCAGAAACAATGCCTACATAATGTTGTTGCTCAGACATTGGAAAGAGAAGTCAAAGAGATACGTATTCCAGTACCATGGGGACATATCGCAGGTGACTTGCATATATAAATGCAATAAAAAATTGTCCCCATACTATATAACCAGACAAGCCCAGGTTCATAGATGAAACCGCAAACTTAAAATAACTGAGGATGTGTTAATGTGCTGTGTGGTGGGGGCTATTGTATAACTGAAAGGGGGAGGGTTGCTGATAGATGAACATGGGGCAGTGATGGAATGATGATTGATTAGAAGGAGGAATACCAAAGGGAATCTGAGAAAAACCTGCCCTAGGGCCATTTTGTCCACCATGAATGTGAAGTCACTTGTGACTGAACTCAAGGCTTAGCAGTGAGAGGTCACTACCTACTGCCTGAGATATGGCATGACCCACTAAAGTATAATAATTGTCTGAAAATTTTGTGTTTGTATGTAAAGTTGACATCTATAATACTATGCTACTTTGTAGCTTCCCACAGAAAAAAAATATTTATTTCATAAGAATTAGTATTGCTTACTTTGTAAGTAGCTGTTGAAAGCATCTGTTCTTTACTGATATTTGTCTTATCGTAAATAGAACCGAAATAATGATAAAAGTTGTAGATCTTGCTGGTAAGGTCAAAATTTCATGTGAAATTCTGCTTGTGTACAGGACCCATCTAGAAATTATTGTACACAACATTTCATCTACTAATATGCTACGTAAGAGTGAGAAAGTACAGCCCAGAATTTGAATACACAATTGAAATTCATGCATCACAGCTGCACATTATGGTGGCATGACATCCCTAGCCCCATGCTGACAGGAGAGAGTACACCCCACGACATTGTGATTCCATGTTTTTAATTAATCCTGTGTAAAAGTGTGGAACCCTATCAGAATTTTGAGACTTGCTGTGCAGGTCTGAAAATTGCAAAGTTAACAGCCAGTTTGAAGACCAAAAAATATGTGACCCGACTGTGCAGATTCTGTTATGTTTTATACCAGTTTTCCTTTTTATGAATTTGATTGTTCTTCATGTAAGGTAAGGAAGTAAACCACAGTATACAATTTTATTTAAATCCACTCTTATCAATTTTGGAGCTGAAATGTGGAGGAAGACAGGTGGACACAGTCTACCTTATTTGTATTGAGTTGGGATAATGCAGTATAGCACCAGGCCTCGGAAGGGAGATTCAGTTCCTGGCTGGTGCAGGAGAGTTTTCTTCTCTATCCAGACCAGCTCTGGGGGACCACACAGCCTCCTGTCCAAGGGGTACTGGGGAGGGGCTCTTTCCCCCAGAATAAAGTGGCCAGGGTGTGAAGCTGACCACTCACTTCCATCTAGTGCTGAGGTTAGAAGTATGTGGATCTGTACCTCCACTCAGTGTGTTTTGATGGTGTACTTAATTAAACACAGGGACTTAACATGCACTTTGCACAAGAATAAGTACATAAAATAAATCAGCATTACTTAGGAAAGATTCTGCATAGGAACATCATACTACTCTGTCCAAAAAGTATCCGACCTTGGGCCGGGAAAAAAAAGTTCTGTATCTGGGTGGTTACACTACCTAATCGCCTTCAAAGTAGGCGCCTTGTGACTCCACACACTTACCCCAGCAGTCCTTCCATCGCTGGAAGCAATTCTGGAAGGCTTCTTTTGGAATGGCGTGCAGCTGCACCATCATGTTCTGTATGATGTCCTTGCTGCTGTCAAAACGGCAGCCTTTTAGCAGTGTCTTTAATCTTGGGAACAGCCAGAAATCACAAGGAGCTATGTCAGGAGGGTAGGGAGCCTGGCGAACCTGCGGAATGCCGTGCTTGGCCAGGAAACCGTGGATAAGGTGTGATGAATGAGCTGGGGCGTTGTCATGAGGGAGCTGCCAGTTCTGTGCGTCCCACAGCTCTGGTCTCTTGCGCCCAACTGCATCACAAAGATGGCGGAGGACTTCTTGGTAGTACTCCTTATTGACAGCCTGGCCTAGTGGTGCATACTCATGATGCACAACACCCCAGTAATTGAAAAAAACAGTCAGTATCACCTTCACATTGCTCCAAATCTGTCGTGCTCTTTTGGGCCTCGGGGATGTTGGATGCTTCCATTGTGATGCCTGGATCTTGGTTTTTGGGTCATATCCGTACACCCACGACTCGTCACTAGTGATCACAGTCTTCAGGAACTCAGGATCCCTGTTGGCGCACTCCAGCATGTCCTGCGCGACCTCAAGGCGGAGCTGTTGCTGCTCCGGCGAAAGCAGCTTGGGCACAAATTTTGCCGCCACTCTTCGCATGACCAAATCCTCAGTTAAAATGGTGTTTGCGGAACCTCTGCTGATCCCAGCCTCATCAGCAACTTCACAGATGGCCAAACGACGGTCCTCCATGATCAGTGTCTGCACTTTTTGAATGACATCAGCATTTCGGCTCGTTGATGGTCTCCCAGAATGCTGCTCACTGTCCGCCAACATACAGCCATGTTTAAAGCGGTTGAACCACTGTTTAATCTGAGTGACTCCCATTTCATCATCGCTGAAAGCGTGCTGAATTTTGTGATTTGTTTCCACTTGGGTATCCCCAAGTTTCTAACAAAACTTAATGCAGTATCGCTGCTTCAAGCATTCTGTCATCTTGCGCGAAACGAGAATGCGACAAACATGTGTTACACCACTTCGCTCTCTGGCAGCCACAGACGCATGCGGCAGTGTTGCGAGTCAGCAAAAAATCATGCATGCCCATGAAAATCCATTCTACCACTACGCTCAGTTTCCCCACCCCTTTGGCCATTACTTACAGCAGAAAAAAATAAAGTTGGATACTTTTTTGACATAGGTATAATTTACACTGATCATTTTCTCTCGCTGAAAGTTCTGATTACTTACAGGAAAGTGGTGGGGCCCACAGGATGCAAGACCAGTTCTTTGCCTTCATGGATATCAAGACAATGCTGGTACATGGGACACATTGGCACCCCTTCTTCCACATGATATTAGTCTCCTGGCAGTAGATTTCCCTGGGCATGGACTGTCATCACATTTACCACCTGGAAATGCATACCAATATTTAAACTTTGTTTTGACTGTCCATCGTATTGTTAAGCACTACGGATGGGAAAAAGTATCGCTGTTGGGTCATTCATTTGGAAGTGCTTGTGCATTTTTGTACTCAGCCCTGTACCCAGAATGTGTAGAACATTACATTGGATTAGATATAATTAAACCCGTGAGTAATGATCCAGTAAGGAAGCTGAATGGGCATGGGAAACGTTTGGATCAATTCCTGCACTTGGAATCTATGAACCCAAACAGTGCGCCTTCATATACATATGAGGAAGCCGTTGAACATTTACACAGAAGCATTAAAAAGTGGGCAACAAAGGAAGGATGTGAGATCCTGTTACGGAGGGGAACCATTAAGAAAGCTGATGGGCGTTACTGTTTCAGTAGAGATGCTCGCTTGAAGGTTGATATTGGTTTGAATTTTTCTCATCAGGATGTTCTTCAGTTTGCAGCTAATTTAAAATGTAAAGTTCTCAACATAAAAGCTCTCCAGGGTATAACAATGGAGAAACCTGAAGAAGTGGAACAGTGTCTTGATGTGGTTAAGAAGTCAGCTGCACTGTATGAATACCATACTGTTGAAGGCAGACATCATGTTCATTTAGATTTCCCAGAGCGAGTAGCTCCTATAATTTCAAACTTCTTGAAATACAAATGAATAGCACAATAGTTAAAAGATAGTACATACTTTCTAGCCAGTTACAGCTGGGATATGAAAAGAAGGAAATCATGTATTTATTGAAGATTATTGTGTTTCAACCTTCTGAATTTTATTTTGTTCATGAAAATAAATGCAGATATCCCTCATTTTATGAACACTTGATTTATGAGTTTTCACTAAGTGAACCCTGTTAGTTTGTACTATTTTTCACTTAACAAATTACATTTTCACTACATTGAACAACTTACGTTCATAAGTTCAGCAGATTTACATGTTAAGTAGTGGGAATTTCATTTTTGATTTATGAATCTTCACCTTATAAACAGTTTTCATGGAAAGAATTACTTTTGTAAAGTGGGGGATACCCGTATTCCAAATGACTGGAGGAGACGCAGAGTTTGAGCTATTTGCACTTATACTTAAAAATTAAAATGGGTAATAACCTCTTTGCAAATAATATGTGAACATATTATGGAGACACTAAGACTCATAACATGAAGAACCGAAGAGATTCATCTACAAAGAAGGCTTTATGGGGTGGACAGGATGGTACAATTACTGCAGCGAGCATTAACTCAACTTTTTCCTTCTCTTCACTATTTCCATGTGATTTAGAAACATTTCTCTTGTGGAATGAATGGGACTTGTAAGTGTCCAGCTAATGTTGTAAAGCAAACAAGCAGTAAATGATTTAGATAGTAAGAAATATAATTTATATATTACACAAACATTAAAGGTTTGTATCTACATTTCTTAATGACAAATACTGGAAAGCTTCTTACCACATTCCAAACTGTAGAGTACAGAAAGAATCAGTTTTGATATTTGTCTGGTGTATTTGTATGTACACTCACTAATGGAACTGAGCCCTTCTTGAGAAGCCATCAATTGTGCAGCTACTCAACAACTTCCCAGCATTTTATGGAACCAAAAAGTCCATTACTGTGTTCACAAGAGCCCTTCACTGGTCCCTATCCTGAGGGAGATCAATCCAATCCAAACCGTACCATCCTCTTTCCCTAAGATCCATTTTAATGTTGTCCATACAAAACTTTGGGAGAAATAATGGTCTTATACAGCTCATGGCTTATCTCACCAATCTAACCAGTGTAACAAAGCTTTGTATAGTATAAATACGGGAATGTAAATTAAGTGATTATGAAAGAATATCATGGATTGTCACATTTCTCAAAGAGTGGTAGCTAGAAATGACATTTAATTGATAATCGATTAAGAATCTGTTATTAGACCGTCTAAGGATGCAAGTGTCTATGTGATGTGTGTGTTGTAATGCGAGTGACCATATTTCAGGTGTGTAGTTGAATCTGGGTGAATATTGCAATCTAATTTGTACCCCACAGTTTCATTTTAATATTAAAAATTATAACTTCCAATTTATTCGTTCAGACTTCATTCTCCATTCTTTTAAAATGCACCAGATAAAGGATTATATCTCATTATGATCTCTGCATGTTGACCCCAGTAATATTTTAAGTTTTAAAATTCACCCAGTAAGGACTATAAGGCCGCTGCATGTTTACCCTGGGTTAAGGAATGTTTAAGTTCTAAAATGCACCATATACAAAATTAGAAGACTTTTGCATATTGACTCTGGGTTAAGGAACACTTAATTTTTCAAGAAAGGAAGAGAAATGACAACCTTATGAGAAATTTAACTTCACATAAGACTTGAGCCATGCTGGTGAAAATGATTTTGACTTCAAGACATAATTCACTTCACAGTGAATCAAGAAAATAATGGGGCTTGGGGATGCAGTTTGTTTAATATTTGAAAAAAGTTCAATATTTCATTGAACAGTGTCGTACAGTAAGACTAATATTTCTAAAATGTTTCTGCCTGTTATTTACTGTATATCAAATATACTGAATACTGTATCTCTCACCTGTTGCAAGGAATCAAATTTCAGACCAATTCTATGAGACCCTCTGCCTCTGCTTTGGGACCTGGCAATACCCAGATTTCTTATCTGAGTACTGTATATGAGCATATGACAGGTACTGAAATCCAGAAACAATTAAAACAATATATGGCAAACAGATTTTATATAAATAAAATTTTAATTATAATACACATAAAAATAGTGGAATTAAAAGAGTAACAGTTTACCATTAATAATATTTCAATTGGTACTTTTTTGAATGACTGAAACATCTCATATACTTGTACTACGGCTTCTATGGAGACATAATATACTGTCAACTATCTGAGAACTGGGGATAGAAATACTTGAGATTTTGACATTTTTAGATGATACATAAATTAACTGCAGGCATATACATAAGTGTATCTAACTTGATGGAGCAGAATGCTTCTCGAAAAGCTTCTAGGCACTCAGCTAGTTAAGAAATTTCCCACATTTTATGAAACCAAAAAGTTGATTACTGTGTTGGCAAGAATATGCCAGTGGCACATATCCTGAGCTATTTGGATCCATTCAAGGTCTTCTAAATGGTGTCTTCACTTATTTTTGGAAATATATATTTATATATTAGAATGCATATTCTGTAAGTGGAATAAGATTAGAGCATGGTGGTTTGGAAATAATTTACACTGAACTTTTACAAGACAAACTTTATGAAATTTGCTACTAATAAAGATCTTATATTCATCTAAAAGGAGATCATGATACAACAATGGAAGAAGTAGAAACAACTTTATTTGTCTACAAATTAATAGTAAATTTCGTTGGGAAGAATGCAGTAAATACAGAGGTATGTTATGCCTACCAAGATCTTCATGAATTGCTATAAGGCAGTCATATCAGTCATGAAAACAGATACTTAAAAATTGATTCAATTTCTTATTTCCACTTAATCATGTTGAATCAGATAATACTGAAAAATTCAACTGACAACAGAAAATTATACATTATGGCAGTAAAGAGAGAGTTTTTTAGAGAATTATTTAAGAAGTTTAATATTTCCCTGCCAATGAATTTTTACTGTCATTATTGTCATTAATTGTGAATAATATGAAAATTAAAAAAAAATTATGATATACAGATTATAAACACAATACATAAATATAACCTCCATAAAGCAAATCCTAACCTCACCACATATCAGAAAGGATTATACTGCATTAGAATCAAGTTTTCATTCACCATCATGAAATAAAAATATTTCAGCCAAAAGAGATTACATCACTCTCCTATTCCATACAGGAATTTTCTTCCATTGAAAATTATTAAGTACTGTAAATTTATAAAGAAAATATCTCTTTGACATAATCATTTTGTTCTGTATTACGTAACATACTTAAAATATGTCTGTGAATAGGTGTAATAACTGTGTATTTATTTTTTTTATTTGTTTCATTGTGGTCCGTCACACTATTAAATTTACAATTAAGTTTATTTAAGTCCAATGTGACATATAATGCCTTCACCACTTCAGCACTTAGTTACCTAAGGTAACTTAAATAAACTTAATTGTGTATTTATATTTGTACTTGTATTGAGACATATTCTACATACAAGGCCTAGTCATTTAAGGATTGATGGATTGTAAATAAATTCTGATTCTCTAAATAGACCTTCAGATTTTCCAACTAAAATTTGTGTGCATATCACATTTCTCCCTTGCATACTTCACACTCCAGTCGTCTTATGATCCATTATTTTGTGCTGCTAATAACATTTAACAAAGAGTACAAATTGTGAAGCTCCTAAATACAAAAATCTCACCATTTTCTGGTAGTATCTCTCTCTTACATATCTTGAATATCCGAATGTTCCACACAAGAAGTATTCTCATATGACTAACCTTAAAAACATTTATAATGAACCAATATATTTCTAGTTCACAGAACTCATATTATGTGTAAAAACTGTGCGATAGGGGTCACACAACAATCTTACTACAACATCCATCCATAAAAATGTCGTTATTGCCGGCTCCTTTGCCTCACCTACACATAACATTACTGCTCTACATCAGTACTGATCCACCTTTATGTTACAGAAGACTAATCCTAAAACACGTCCACCTTCTCCACTGCCTAGAAATTAATTATCATGCAAAGAATACATAATGCAATGAAGCCAAAATACATACTCTACGTTACCATTTTGTGAAAATTATTTCTAGAAGGGAAAGTTGTTTATGCACAATTGTATTGTATTATTTTACGTTTAATCCATTCGTGCTAGGAATCCGCGTATCGGATTTCGTAATTCGCGCCCAATGCTGATTTGACGACTTATATTGGTGGGGGAGTGTACAGCTAACTGTAAAACATGGCTGTATTGTATGCCACGTTATTTCTTACGTTGTCGATATTACCCTATTTTATACAGATATGTGACAGCGAAACAACACTTCCATGGTACGAATCTTTACCTGCTGTTGCTATGGATTATAAGGTCCATATTGATGCCGGAAAGGAAGATTGTTACTTCCAATACGTAAATCCCGGCGCAACATTTTACGTGAGCTTTCAGGTACGTAATCATATGCAAACAACTTATATTATTTAACAGCTGAATTAAAAGCACAGTAATTATGCACAACAAATTTTTAAAGTAACTTGACTATGTACCTACTGTTTCACGTTCTGAACACTTTCCTAATCGCAGTACACCTTTGCTACATGACAACATATGTTTACATTTGCAGTCACCACATGTCAGTGGTCGATGTAGATAATTTGTTTACCATTTCATTAAGGTGGTCGAGTCTGACATGCTGGTAATGAATGGTGATAATTAAATTTGATTTCAGTTAGGGATGCAAAATCAAACGGTACACGATATATGGTGATTTAATGAGGATCCGTTTATGTTAAATGAGTGGTTACAAGATACTACTTATACTACATGAGCCACAAAATATTATTACCAGTGATATTTCTGGATGTGAGCATTATATGTTTTAGGCTCTTTTCACCCTCAGGAACTCGATAGCACAGTCGGTATATAGCGGCTGGCTATGGGCTGGACGACCAAGGGGGCGGAGTTCGAGTCCCGGTAGGGTCAAGAATTTTCACTTCATCTCGTCCGAACCGGCTCTGGGGTCCACCGAACTTCATAGTCAGTGTGTACCAGGGGCTCTTTCCCCGGGGTTAAAGCGGCTGGGGCATGACACTGACCAGTCACCTCCAACTAGTTCTGAAGTCAAGAAAATGTGTATCTATACATCCACTACCCCATACACCTTCATGGCATAGTGCTTAATTGGTTAAGCTCAGGGAAGACTTCACCTTTTTACCTCAGGAACTCACCAATTTGTATTTCCATCTCTGAACGTCTTCATATTTATGCAAAAGAGACTTGCCAAAGTGACCTCATTTTGTATCAGTGATGACAAATAATTACAATTACTGGATGTTCGGCTTCAGGTACTAAGAGGTGGTGATGGCATGGCTGGATTTGCTGTAAGACATCCCAATGGCCAGATTGTGCATCCATATCAGTGGCGACCAAATGCAGATTATCAAGATGAAGCCTCAACTGGAGGCTACTACAGCGTGTGTATTGATAACCAATTCTCCAGATTTGCAGCAAAACTTGTGAATCTCTACCTTACTGTCATCAGGTATATTAACTTTTATTACACTGAAATTCTAAGTACAGAAACTAGTCTGTAGAATCTTAAACATGGTATGAATGGTAATGTGTCTTATTTGAAGCAGCAACCAAATTTTGAAACATTATATGAGTGAACTTCACTCTTTAAATGATTAAATAATCAGACAGCACTTCCAGTAACCCTTCCTAGTTTCGCATGAGAACTTCCGCATGTTTTCGTCTGTCTAGTGCCTCCAGGTTTGGCCAGAGATGGCCTTTCTAGCCTCTGCCCACTAAGGCAGATGAGCAGAGACAAAAGCACTGTTACTCCCAGTGTCAGGGTGATCAACAGAGAGAGACCTATAATTTAACATGGACTCGAGACCAGAGGGGGCAAAGGGGCTGGTTTTGAAAGTTTCAGTCTCATAGCAGAATAATCATGAAGGTCTGAGAAGGGATTGAACTCAGAATGAGTCCAGGATCTTCCCTCCAAGACCACCAGGTTCCCTGCTTTCAGAATATTATTGCTAGTAACAAGACTAAACAAATATACTGTACCCTCATGCCAAATGACAGTTACTGTATCATACTTAACATGCGATACTTCCTTCACACTGGTAAATGAAGCCAATGTTTGTTCAGACCTCATAATACAATTTATATTACCCACACTTTCACAGTTTTAGAAAAATACATGAAATTATAAAACGTAGCAGTATGTCCTCCTTTTTGGGGAGAAATTGTTTGTATGCCCCAATGACTCAGAGAGCTGTGCTGGTGGAAACATAAGCTCCTGGTAGGGCCACCAGACAGGTCAAAGGGTAAGAGCCACATGAAGTGTAGTCCCTGGTCCTCCAGTTTGGGGGTTGGGCATAGGGCTACAGCCCCACCCCAGAAAAATCTACTGTTACGAAACCTCCAGAGCCAGTGGTGGAGGAGGAGGAGGAGGAGGAAGTGGCAGAAGCAGAACATTTGAGATGTTTGGATGTAAAGTCAAAATATGTTAAACCATATTGAAATAATTAAGAGTTGTGAGGAAAACATAAAGTCTGTGAAAGATGCACAACACATGGATAGCAGTGAAAAACTCCTGCGCATGTGGGACTATTCAGTCTTCTTTAGTAGCATGGGTTCCAGACAGATTCAGCTAAAACAGAATTATGCTTAAATATCTGTTCGGTTTCTAGTTGTATTTAATTTAGCAGACTATACAGACATAGTAAAAAAATCACAGGAGTTTTCAGGACTCTTGCAAAATACTGTGTTGTAACTAAAATTTCACTATATTATATTTAATTCTGAGTATAAATGTTTCTTCTTAACTGTTATTTTTCTCATTTCAACAGATATGACCAGTGGGATAAATTTTCCAAAGAGGTGGAAGAATTAAACCTTAGTGTAGGCAATTTTACTGTAAGTATAAATCTAATTACAAAATATTATGTGCATACATAAAGTAGAATTATGTCTTGATGGTTGATTTTCCTATCATGTCTCTAATAGAAATACCCACAGTAACAGTCTGAAGCATTCCAGAATACCAAAACTTGTTCACAGTGCACAGACTTTCAAAAATATATAACTTCAAGTTATAGAAGGGAGTAGGAAACTGCTAGTTCTCTCAAGAGTTTGACAGTTTTTAGCTGGTAGTGAAGGGAATTCAATCCTAATCTTGAGATCCATTAAGAATTCTTAGAGTCTTTATATTTACAAGTCTGCATGTACAAAAACTTAAACAGTCCCTAAGTTTTTCTGAATGGAGTGCAAAGAAGCAAAACATTTTCATTTCAAAGCACTTTAAAGGAGGAAATATTACACACACACACACACACATATATATATATATATATATGCTGCATGCAGCCACATAAGACACAGTATATACACAATTAAAACATAAGGACGACTCCCATAGTGGACGAATGGCATTACACACAAGTTTGATATACGACATGTAAGATGATAGATCTTGACAAGTTTTAATATATAAATTTTAAAATTGAATGACAACGAACACACATTTTATGTCATTTTGTAAATGGACACTTGATGGCAGGCAGTGCAATGGTTTAACGTGATTAATACACCTGAGGATGGCAGAATGATGCCAAAACATGTAGTGTGAAGTGACAAGTGAAATTGTATGCACTAAAAGACGGTTAATATATACACATTATGGATACGAATCAGTGCAACAGGACGCTAAAATACAACAGTAAGTATGAAAGTATGGGAAATATGACACACACATTTGTATGAAATGTAGAGAAAACAGTCTGTGCAAGTTGAAATTGGTGTATTTTCCAAACTGTGACATACTAATTTTGTACATTTCCCGATGCTTTTTTTCTGGGCAGGTTTCAAGATAGTTCAAGTCTATGATTCTACCATATGTGGGACTTTTTAATATTCTGAAGTCATGAAAAGGAATTCTCACACTCTAATAACATTTTGGCATGTTGTTCATAGTTGACTGTTAAATTCTAGTTTAAAATCAGGATCTATCTGAAGTAATTTAGTATTTCAGAAGAACCTGCCCCTTGTGTCAGTTATCATTTACCATTAGATTGACATCGTGTGAAGGGACTAGAATGGTAAAGCTGTCCATGTAACAGTCTGTGGAGGCCTATAGGGTTGAGAGACATTGAAGCTTCCACATCTTCTAGACGATCAGCAGTGAGGTTGTCAGCCTTATGCACTGGCCGCTCTTTAGCCCCAGGAATATACATCGTACTTATTTCTGTTAGAGGCTGAGTCGAACCCAGGGCTACACTGCAGCTTGAGGAATTAGGTCAATTGAAAGAATCGAATTACCTCATCGGGAATTGAACCCGTGACCTTCCGGCTTGTAACAACAATTGTTACAACTAAGCATGGTCCAAATTGTTTAAAATCAGTGTTGCTTTACAGATAACAGGAAACTTAGCCTGTTTTATTGAGTTGCTGGCATTCATATTATAATTTTGGCAAGGATTCTAACAGCTGGTTATTATTCCTCAGTAGTGAGGTTGACATTTCTTTTGTTTCTTTAGGAATCTATTAAAGGAGTAGAACGTAACATTAATGAAATGCTGCAGTATCAGCATCACACCAGAGGAAGGGAAACATGGGACTACAATCTACTAGAAGACAACAACCGCTATGTACAAAATTGGTCTATTGCTCAGATCTTTGTCATTACTTGTACCACTGTGCTGCAAGTTTATTTTGTTCGCAAACTATTTGAGATAAAGAATGCCAGACCAAGGGCATGAATATCTTCAAGACATTCCACAATATTATGGAGGCTGAACGGGTTTTGAATGAACTTAGGAACAAAGGAATCTGTATTTTGACTGTTTATAAGGTGCAGTATTATAAGCTGTATCAGTAAGATTTATGAAGAAATGTAGCTTGTGATGATCATATACAATGGAAGAATTAAGTGTGATATCTGGCAAAGAAAATGTGGAAAATCTTTAAGGGTGGAGATCCCCACTTTGTAGGGTTGCCATGGTAGAAAGATGTTTTTTCTTTGGGCTTCAAGTAGATATCATTCCTGCCTTTTCATATGATTTTTACTTAATTTTTTAAATATATATTTAAAATGGTGGAACAACTATGGGTTGGCACTGTTATGAGATGAATATACCTTTTTTGCTGTACTTGTTCTGTTTTGTATATTGTATATGACAATATGTATGTATGTATGTATGATTTTTTTTTAAACTTTTTGGTAATTTATGTTCAAGTTGTTTATGATAAAATATTTGTTTTTGCTATTAAATATACAAATTTGTTTTTTAACTTTTTATGTACCGTCAGAAAATCTAAATGGGAGGAACCACTTGCAAGACCTAGGCACAGATGGGACATAAATATTAAATTGTATCTTAAAGAAATAGGTTGTGAGTTTGTGGACATGATTCATGCGGCTCAGGACTCAGTCCCTTAAAGGGTTCTGGAAAATGCAATAATGAACGTTCAAGTTCCACAGAAGACAGGGAATTTGTTGACCACCTGAGTGACAACTGGATTTTCAGGGACACAAGTAACACATTGAAGCATAAAAACGCATAATTGAATTAACATTCAAGATTGCGCAGCTACCACACAAATGTCCAAATAATAATTTACAGATTGTGTGTGGCTTTTGATCAGTGTAACACAAGTGATCAATGATTTTAGACAACACTGCCTCTACTTATGAGTTATGTTACGTACCATTGCATTAATATCAATAGAAAACTGTTTCATTTCAAATGGTAATTTATGTTATGATAGGAATAAAATAATATCCCTTAATAATTGTACATGGCACAAACTTCAAGCCTGAATCCACATTGCAGGTAATATTACATTTATGAGCATATTAAGGGTATAGTCTCCTGGGATCTGACAGTTTAGTTTGGTACGAACGTTTCGGAAGAACCTTCTGCCTCCATCTTTAGGGTGAGGGTTGTTGCAGTTTCCTCCAAAATATTATTAGAATTTAACTGCAAATGGATTTTCACCCAGTGGCAATGCTACTACAATAAAACAGACAAATAACACACACAAACATGTTCAAAACACAGCACACAAATATTAGTAGAAAAACTAACAGTAATGAATGCGTAACATCATGTTCTCATTTTCCTTTTATCTCGCTTTACCACACTTACGTAACCCTCCCATCCTTAACCTGTTTTTCACTTCACTTTTTGCTGAATTCCACCTCTCCTTCACTTCGCAACAAAGTACGTATCTACTAAACACATCCCAGAGTACTGTAGTCTTAAAACAAGTTTTTATAGATGGAACTGGCAGAGTTAAATTAGTCAAGAACTCTATATGAATCACTTTTCTCTGTTTAGTTAATTTTGTTTCTTGGGTCTTTACTATTTTCTGGTGGTATTTATATTCAAATAGTGGCCTGTGGATTGTGTGTCTCCTTTTTTATGAAAAGAAGGAACTGTGTAAATGACAACAGTTTTTTAAACATTAATATGGAGAGGAAATTCACATCAGTGCAATTACAACTTGTACACCTCAGTTCCAAATGTTTTACCCAGTACATTCTCTTTCTGCACTTTCCTAATTTCCTTGACTGGGGTACCTTTTATCATTAAGCAATTTTTGGTATTCAGATTTTAGGGATGAAATTTTGTGGAAGTAGTTTAAAAAGAATAGTTTTATTTATATACTTTTCCTTTAAAAAATTCTGGACACAGAAGGCACAAATATGCCAAATTAAGGGAAAATGGGGAAAGAACATAACTTCCCATCTACAATATGTTTTCAGTACCTTTGCTTTGTAAAGTTCTATTTTCTCTATCCTTAACATATTAGTATTCTGCAAAATTTTGTATACAAGGAGTGAAAAGGAGCTTGAGATGTGCTGATCTCACTGGCTGTTGTAATATGGTACTTTGAGAACACAGAACTCCATATAGCATGATCATTTTCAGAAACTTGTATTGGTGCTTGATAACACACTATTATGGTGCACTGATTTCTTAACAGTGCTAAAAGTACTGCCTATATGTTCAAGGACAAGTAATATGGGTGTGCATGGTTCAGTTACTACAAATATGTAGGTCAGGATGTCTGCCTCTCTCTTGCCTTACCGCACTGAAGATGACAATTTTCATCTCTCAGACATCAGGAAATAAGCCCATGAAAAGTATGTCACCTTTAGTGAATCTCTTAAGCAGGGAATGTAAATGAATGTGAACTTGTAACACAGTCAGTGAAGTGTCATTATTAGTTTGTATCAATATAAACTGTTTTGTTATGAAATGTTATAGAGACTAAGCTTGATTTTCATTATGATGTATACAAATGTCATTTGTCTTTAAATGTAACAGCATATGAAATCACTTTGATGTCTCTTATACACTTAATTTATCCTACACTGATTCTTAAGGTACTTATTATTTTGCTCTGAAATTATACTAATTCATTTGTATACCTCTTCATTTACATTTCATTTGATGCTATTCTGTGCATAAAAATGTATAAATTGTAATTTTATGAGGAACATATTTCCACGAAGATGATGAAAGCCTATACAAATGGCATTTTCAGCATAACATGTGTCTTATTCTGTATCTGTGTATGTACATTTATATGGAATATTTTTACTCATTTCCTCATAATTATTGCTTCATTACATCAAATTCTACACAGGTCATTCAGTGCATAAGGCACTGGGCACTGGCACAGATGTTGTTTGGTGCTAATGTAAAAATATCCTGTGAAGTGCCTGAGAATGGTTAAGTGCTGAATACAGACACCTGACTGACAGGTCCTCTAACTGGTGAGTATGTGTCAAAAGTTGTTGGTAATAACAGATGAATATGTCATTGTAGCAAAAAGCAAGAAAAATCTTAATCAAAACTAAAATCTGCATGAATCCACATTAAACGTGATAGTATCAATCTAAAATAGGCCCTTATGACTATGATAATGAACCCTTTGGTTTCATAAAAGGCAGAGAAATTATTAAGTTGCAGAGTATCTGTTAGGAACTCAAAAAGATGAGTCTGCTCCATGTAAATTTTACAAGGGTGCAAACAGGATCTCAGGTTCTCTCTATATGTAAGTCTTTGTGGGCTTGGCGTAGATAATAATACTAGTAGTGTCTAAAATGATAGTAAGAGGTGCCTATTTAAGTTACACTGAGGAATTGTTCTTTCACATAGAAACAAGAACATATCTGTTGTAGGATTGTGACACTGTGTAGTCTGGTAGATGTCTACCAACATTTTGGAGCAACATACTGCCTCCATCTTCAGGGTAGAAGAATATGTTGGGCATGATATATAGGGAAAGCAACAGCCAGGCAAGAAGCCTGGAGTGAACTAATCCAAGTGTTATCTGTGTTTCCTCGTTTTGGCAAAGGAACAGTAATCGAATGTTACAGAAACATTAGAATGTTCCATGCAATTATAGTGACATATCTAATAATGGATAATCATGACAGATTTTTTTTTTTCATTTGCAGCTTTCTTTCTCAATTCTAATCCAGTACATTTTAAGCCCTTCAAATTTCTTTCCATTAAAATATATTATTTTCATTTTACACCTGTTTCAAGTAGACATGCTTAAAATACCTTCTGTTCTCATCTCTGGTCAGGAATTTTGGTCCTTTTTTTTTTTTATGACCTACGCCCAGTGGCTACATGCGAAGATATTAAGATGAAAACATCTTTCTCCATCACAGAGGAGTCATGGCCGTAACTATTAAAACTGCCAAGGTGCAAAATAATTTGGTAAGTGTGGGAGATCTCTGCAAAATGCATTGCAGAGAGAGCGGCATTTCTGTGTCCCGCAAACTGTCAATACATAAATTTACTTGGGGTCAAGATATTCTGAATATTCTCTACACACATGAACCAGAGCAGTCTGTACTGTAGGAGGGAAGTGCTATGGAAACCAACTGAAGTTGGTTAACCTGCAGGTGTAGAAATCACAAATGCATGTTCAAGTTGGACAGTGACTTGACTGTAAAATAGTACTATTAAGTAGACTTAAATATTTAAGGCGCAGTCTAAAAATATTATATTTACAAAAATCTCAGGTGTTGAATCAGTCTGAAAAAATATTTCAGTAATCTAGGATGTTCTTATATCTGCATAAATGGAATAAAGAATTCTTATTATTGGATACCTCAAGCTAATGAGAAATATTGTAATTAGTTCAAGTCTATATTTTAGCATGTAAGAGAAAGGCTGTTGGTGTTGTGTTTAGCCAAGTTTCCATACAATATCTAATTCAGAATATGTACATTTTCAAAATTTCCAAAGTTCTTTTGTTTTATTCCTTATTTATGACATATAAAACATCTAAAGAGGAAACTGGTTTTTGTGTTTGTCAAAGTGAAATGATCAGTCTTCCACACATACTGAAACCACTACCCAAATGTCTGAAAAACAATCTAACACTATAGGTAAATTTCACCATGCCAATAAAACAGTCAAACAACGAGGTCCAAGACTGATCCAGATTGTACAAAATCCCCTACTACAGTGGTACCCATCTGTGTATTATTACCAGTAGCCCACAAAATATTGTATACACAATCAGTGCACTACAATTTGCATTTATGCTAGCAGTTTTACATTCAAAGAGTTTGTGATTTTTAATAAACAAACGTGTGATATTATCTCTTAATTGTAAGAAATGGTGTTGTCTTCTCGGCTCTCTTTCTTTGAATTTTGACATCTGAACAGTACTGTTTTCTGAGTTGAGATGGGACACCACACAGCTTGGTAGAAGTTTACTCACATTTCAAAGGAATATACTATCTCCCATCTTCAGATTCAAAGAGCAAGCAGCGTGAGCACTCTTCAGATATGAAAGTGAATGCAATGTGTTCCTTCAAAACATAAGCAAGCTTCAACTGGACTCACAATGTTAACATCCCAGAAGACAGTACACTTTATAGCCACTGCTTANATCTTCAGATTCAAAGAGCAAGCAGCGTGAGCACTCTTCAGCTATGAAAGTGAATGCAATGTGTTCCTTCAAAACATAAGCGAGCTTCAACTGGACTCGCAATGTTAACATCCCAGAAGACAGTACACTTTATAGCCACTGCTTATATCTCTCTCTGACAAATTTTACATTCCTGTTAAAGCTATGCATCATTGAACTGTATGTTACAGATGTAAATGATGTGGGCAAGGTGTAATATTTATTTCATTGTCAATAAAATATTTTTATATCACTGGGCTATTACTTCAGTTAACCTTTATGATGCATCATATGCTATTTCTCTACTATCCATCTTAATACTGTCCTGCATACTTCTTAGTCTCTGTTGTTGTACCTTTCTATGAATTTTTATAATGTGGGAATTTCAAGTTTCCCCCGTGTGTGCTACATGTCCCATCCAGAGTAATTTCTAGGGTATTAATATTCCTTTCAGTGTCCTTTTTTATAATATCAAGTGAGATCAGTTTTCATACCACCACAAAATATTTGATAGAATTAATATTTAATAATACATAAGTAGCAAATCAACACCCATATGAATGTATTCATGTAAAAGCCACGAATGTGACCAGAATCCAAGAACTACTGAAAGAACTTCCTTCAACAGAGACTTGAACATAAAGAAAGGGGGGGGGTGTTCCAACATCAGACAGTCATGGGTGTCACCTGGTGTTCTTTTGGGAAGGGGCAGACAAAAAATTACTTACAAACTTATGTTTAAGCAATTTACTGACTGCCCTAGAGTATTCAGGATAGAATTATTTTTAAATATTTTTTATTTTTATTATTATTTGGTGTATTTCCTTCTTTTCAATTCTGATTTTTTTAAGATTCAGTTGGTGGCAGATGCCTATGTCTCCCCCCATTACACTTGGTGCTGGAACTTATAGTTAAAGAGAGCTACGAAAAACAACTAACACTGACCATTAACAAATAACTTTTCATGTAAATTTGTATTGTGACATTAACAAATGTATTTAATTGATCTAATAATGCCAATATCCGTAAGATCTAACCTAGCAAAGGCCTTAATAAACACCTCCCACTCGCACTAGAGGGTCACTCACTCATGGAGCTGAGCGCTTCTTGAGAAGCTGCCGGTTGTGCAGCTACTCAAGAACTTCCCAGAATTGTATGTATCCAAAGGTTCATTACAGTCTTCACAAGAGCCCTCCACTGGTCCGTATCCTGAGCCAGATCAATTCAATCCATCCCACCTCTTTCTGGCTTTCCCACAAATATCCTATATGCATTCCTCTGCTCCCCCCATTCGTACTACATGCCCTGCCCATCTCATCCTTGGAGAAGAGTACAAGTTATGAAGCTTCACATTATGTAGTTTTCTCCAGCATCCTGTCACTTCCTCTCTTTGGTCCAAATATTCTGCTAAACATCCTGTTCTCAAACACCTTCAGTCTATGTTCCTCCCTTTATGTCAGCTACCAAGTTTCACGCCCATACAGAACTACAGACAAAATTATAGTTTTGTATATTCTAATTTTTTAGTTTTTAGCAGACGAGAAGACAAAAGGTTCTGGGCTGAATGGTACCAAGCATTACACGAGTACAGCTCCTCTTAAGTTCCTCCTGAATCAGTTTTTGTTATAGTCACTCCCAAATATCTGATCTGTGCCACATTTTCAAAACATGTCACCTACCTTCATGTCATGATTTTGCCCTGCATTTTGGTAACAAGACAGAAACATATACTTAGTTTTCCTTATGTTTACTTCTAGACCAACCTTCTTACTAGCATCAATTAAAGCTTCTGCGTTTTTCTTCATGTTATCTATATCACCCAGAAGATTCACATCATTAGCCTAGACCAACAGCTGATGTGTCCCATTTAATTTCAGTCCCACCTGCTTTTCCTAGGCCTTCCTAATGCATATTCTAATGCAAAGTGGAAGAGCAATGGCGATAAAGCATCTCCTTGTTTTAGACAAATCTGGATAGGAAAATTATGAGACAAATGTTTACCTACACAGACTTTCTATATGCTTTGATTAAACACATTTAATCAGTGTTAATTAGTTTCATGGGTAACCCAAACTCTGTGAGAATATTGTACTATACTTCTCCCCTAACTGAATCGTAGGCTTTCTTGAAGTCTACGAATAGCTGATGTAGTCTCATGGTACTCCCAATTTTTTCTCCAGTATCTGACAAATGCAAAAGATCTGCACAGTAGCTGATCTGTTACACAAAAGCCACACTGATGATCCCCAATAATTTCATCTATGTATGGACTTAAACTTTAGAGAAGAATATTGGATAAAAATTGAAGTTGATGACAGTGTTATCCCTCAATAATTAATAGTCACATTTATCACCCTTCTTGTGAACTCGTACAATAATAGACTCCTTCCACGATCAGGTAAATTTTCCTTATTCCAGATTTAATTAGCTTATGGATCTTAGAAGGTGATATTTCACCTCCTGCTTGATCACTACCTGGCAACTAATACCTTTTCAATTTTGCCATAGCAATTTCATAAAACATTATAGCGGTTTTATCTCTCATGGTCCAAAATGCACAAATACCTGCTAACTAGAATGCACGATTTTGAAATCACATACCTGTTAGTGAGAAATGTTGCTGCGCTTCTCTCCACATGCTGGAGAGAACAGAAGAGAACCATCTTCTGACGGTAGGAGCAACACAGTACATTTCAATGTTTAAATCCATTTTCACACACGCAGGATGTGACAAAAAGACTGTGCATGCCCTTGAATTAGATTACCCTAAAAATTAATGATGGTAAGGATTATTGCTGTAGTTTCAAACAATTCCAAACAGAATTCTAGTAATATTATATGGATATTCCATTTTTGAAAGGATTCAGCACCAATAAAGGTCTTTGTCAGAATATATGGTATAATACCGAATGTCGACAACTTGCACGTCAAATGACGTATGGGAAACTTAATCAAACTCACCCTCTAGTCTTGCTTAACCCCCCCCCCAAAATTAACTGTTGTTTTCTGTACTCAGATAATTTTTATGCTGGTGTTCAAATGGTATTCACAATTAGAGAAGTTTAGTTATAAAACACAATTTTGGAATAGCCCAACTAACAGTAACTGAAAAGAAAATGACAAAAAAGAATGGAAATGTTAATTTTCATTGTTGTGTTGATGGCTAGAATACCATAAATCATGATGCACAACAGGATGCAAACAGTGACGAATGTAAGGGAGATAACTTGAGAAAAAATAAGAACTGTTATATGCTGTAAGAACAGATCAGGCATTTATCTGAAGCTAATGAAAGTGTACTTAAAATGTACTTGAGTTGATAACCATCAGGTTCCATGTCTCATAAATGGAAATAACCTACACAGCAACACTTACAGAAGACATACAAACACACACAGAATCAAAGTTTATGGCAGTACATTTTATTCTTGTGAAACATAACTGCTTGAGCACATGTTTGTGCTGGCATATCAATTTGTGTTACTTGTGTTACTGTAATCGCTCAGAAAGAAGCCCAAATAATTACTCTGCACCACCCAATGACTAAACTACTTGTCTACCTTCCATTAATTTTATAGTTTTAGGAAGCCTCTGAGAAGAATGTGACCATAACACAGAGAAAAACTCTCTGTGAAGAACCAGTACCAGCAAAAAAATAGCAAACACAATAATGTCTACATATTATGTATTTCATCCCTTCCAGTCCATGGCAGCTTTTCTGATGACTCCTTTAGACAGGAAAGTTTGCCCACAGTTGCTGCTGGTACCACAATTTCACTGTACTTCACAGCAACATTTTAAAATCTTTCATCAATTCAAATTTTATTCCTGTGAAGTCTGTCTTCTGTTCCAATAGTGTTCTGACATCCTTCCAAGAGAGCTGAAAACTGTCAACTGAAAACATGTCAATATATTTCTGAACTATTCATAAGCTAGGTTATCTGGAAGCCCAAATGAAACTGAATGGAAGACTGTCTTTACACAGACAATCAACAATAAAGACTTAAAATGCCATCATGCAAATATTAATAGAAACAAGAAATGTCACATATGATGCAAATTTTTAAAAATAAATAAATCTGAGGAAGATAAGGAAAAATGGCTCAACCACATAATTAACCAAGACATCAGACAAAAAAAATGGTATCTAGCTCACAAAATATGTTAACAATGGAAAGTGAACGAGAAAATCATGTGACAAAATCCAGGATTAAACAAATAGCATGAAGTATTTTTCATAAAAGGAAAATAAGCAACGGGAAAATGAATACACGTGGACTGCCTCACACTCTGGATAGAATGGGTTACTAATCAAACAACATGATATTTAATCACATACTAAATGCAGAGATTATGACAAATGGAAATGATTATGGTTTGGATGAAAGAGGATTATATGTATAATTACCTTGTCAAGACTGGAAATCATTTGACTTTTTCAAGAACCAGGGAACAAAGACTTGAACACTACCCAAACATATCTGAGGAGAAGGATATAAACTGTAAAATAGTTTATATATTTATTTATAAAATATACAATATAGAATTATAAGTCCATGAATCAACAAAGATTCAACACATACATTTCTCTGACATGATTAACACATTTATACAAAAAATATATGAGTATTCATACGTACATATCAATGGAATGTAATTCTGATATAACAGTAGAATGAAAAGCTAGGGTGTTCCAAATACTTACACATGATATTGGCATACAATTTACTTAGGCTCTCAATATTCAATACTCTTATTTGGTTAGGGCTTAATAATCTTTACAAAACATGAGAAAAGTAACTGGAAGCATCTTCAATGACCAATCATAGCAAAGATAACAGAAGCAGGAACACTCAAGCTTTTCAATCACATTTGTAATATACAAATTAAAATACAATTAAGTACTCATGATTTGCCACCTTCTCCTTCCACAGATGTCACCAACTTCAAGCAATTTTTATAGTGAATACTACTTACTTGAAGACTATGTTTCTTCTTATTTTCCAAAAACCACAACAGTCTTTTTATAAAACAACAATGCTGACATTAATAAACAGACTTTTATCACCTTGAAACATAACTACTGTTATCTTGCTATTCATCCTGCAGTTTTAATAAGCTTATTACTCCAAATATCATGCCTGTTAAAAATTACTGTAGAATCAAAAACTGAAGTTTATTTTAACTAAGTAACAATTTTGTAATAATTATTGAAGCATCATTATATTCTACATTTGACACACACATATGATCTGCAAAACACTTTATCATATACTAAGTTGGCCGTGCCACAGCTCAAGCGGTTAGTTGCCGGCTTCCCACCGTGGTGACCCAGGTTCGATTCCAGGTCTGGTCAAGTGGGATTTGTGGTGGACAAAGTGGCACTGGGGCAGGTTTTCTCCGAGTACTTCAGTTTCCCTTGCCAATCTTCATTCCATCAAATTCTCCATCATCATAATCACCCGGGGCAGGCACAACAGGCCAATCAATGGCCGCCGTGCCGAGTGGACCCAGTTGGACTCCACCCCCCACTAAGCAAATTAAAAAAAAATTAATATACTAAGTTATAGTATATTTAAGAGATATTAATTCTCTGAAATAAGAGATTAATTTCCTTATTTTTATTACCTGAACTTTCTTGACACTGCTCATGTGAGAATTAGAAGGTGGCAGATCATAGTTCACAGCCTCATATGAGGCAGAAATACATCATCTTACTGCATTTACATAATCCACTAATGTCATGAGCCTTTTCACTTTAATTGTAAAGAGTACAACACCCTGGCATATAAAGGTGCAGTGGGCGTTTATCACATGTGGGGACTGCTCTTACTATAATCTTGATCTCCTTTTAGGCAAGATGGATGATGACAAGTGCCACCTTATTTCAATATATTATGTATAGTAGTCTCAATTATCTGGTGCTTTGTGGATTAACAGTATTAATTTTACAACCCATTAGTTGTTGATAATACCTGCCTGTAAAGACTGAACTATTCCCCATTATATATACGTCAGTGATACTTTTGTAATTTGCAGCTTTCTATTTCAGTATTTTATTGCATATCATGCCAGCTTACTACAGTAACACAGGACCGCTTTCTTTTATTAAAAATATATTTGTCTCTAGCGACCAGCAGAATGCATGAGAAGTAGCCTGTACAATCATGAGTCCATTACAGGTTCTAACCTCACAAAAGTTAATTAGATCTGGTACTTGGATTATCTATTTGTTTTTACATATCCCTCCCACTTTTTTATGAACAAATCTGGAAGTCTGCTATATATAAATAAATGTTATGCTCTGGAATTTTACAGTTTACACTTCATTAACTGTGTTCACAGCTGATCACACATTTTTTCTTTCCCCTTGGCACTACAGCAACAGTGGGCCTAGGCCTACCTACTTCTCCATTCACTTCGGTTTTTCTAGATTTTACACATTTGGTAGGACTCCTTGGGCGGGTCATCAGCTCATTGCAAGGCCTCTACACAGAAGAACGCACACACACAAACTAAACATCCATGCCCTGGGTGAGATTCAAATCCACGATCCCGGTTTCCAAGCAAGCGAAGACAGTACATGCCTTAGACCGCTCGGCTACAGTGACTGGTGATCACACATATGACTTTGCTTTAATTAATTTAGAGATGGCCAATTTATTTTCAAGAACTTTAGCCAGAAACTAGTATATCGCTAGGTGGACAGTTGTAACTGGTTCCCACCAAAGTGATGCTCAAGGAGTAAAGTACTTACTGCTCTGGACAGGAGCCTCCAGCTCTCAACACCCAAGACTATCTCCCACAGTATTTCAAACCACTAACACTGTCCTAATGCTTCTGAGCTAACTTAGATCAAATTTTCATAGGTCTCACTTTCATACATGAATACTGTGACATGTTGCGCTATGGACCCCCCCCCAGCAGTGATGTGGCAGCTCTGGCCACGGTGACGTAGCAGGCGAGTCAGCGCTCCACCCCGCCGGCTACGTGGCACCGCTTCATACTGTGACGAGGCACGCAACACCGCTGTTGACATGGGCAACAGACAACCGCGAACAGAATAAAAAGCAGACTGAACAGTAAGCAAGAGTGTGTGTGTGTGTGTGTGTGTGTGTGAGCCTGAGAGGAACACAGTTGGAATCTAGCAGCAGTCGTGGAAAGAAGAACTGGATGCGTGTCATAATCAGTGATAGTTTGTGATAACTGGGAAGTAGTTGGGAGTGTGTAACACAGTGACACTTATATAGCTCCTGTACTGTGAATACGTGTAGACTACTGAAGACAGAGTGAACAGATTATTGCAAATAAGGTTATAGAGTGTGAAACCCCGCAACAGTGCGAAAAGATTATTGCGAATAGGGTTATAAAGTGTGAAACCCCACAACAGTGTAACGACGGAGTGAAGAGATTATTGCGAATAGGGTTATAAAGTGTGAAACCCCGCAACAGTGTTATAATCAATTGTAGTTATGACTTGTAGGTTGTTAAATAAACCAATTAACAATCCGAACAGCGTCTTCAGTAACTAAACATGCTACAATACAATATGGAAGTGTAATTACCTGCTGGTTGTCTGTGTGATGTCCTCACATTAAGAGGTGAAGGGGCACTTGCCCTCACTTCAGCTTAAGTTTATAATGAGTCATTTCTAACATTCTCTGATGACAACTGGCTCTTTATTTTGGGGAACAGATGTCACTAAACTCAAGACTATAAATTATTTGTAAAAGTAAAGTACACACCAAAATTCAACTGGTGCAAACTGAAAACATCCTTTTAAGCATCATTATTTAAAACAATATATAAGCCCCTCACCTGAAACTACCATAAGGAAGTTGGGTAAATGTCCTTGTGACATGAACTGTATGTGATCAGCATTTCCACTCTCCTGTATGCTTGCAAGCTTATCAACAATCTTCTTCAAGATTACTGTGTATTTTGTTTAAACACTAAGTGTATAATGTTAGCCCTCAGTCACTTCATATACAAACCTGAACAGACTTCTTGCATGATATCTTGATTCTGTTACAGTAGTGCCTCACTCTTCCTATGTACGAGGAATGCAGACTACCAATTCCTCATCATTCCTACCTAATCCTGAGGGCCAGAAACATGACCAACATCTTTTGGTGTCAGAAACCATCTTCACACTCATCATAATCATCCTGTCAAGTATAAGGCAATCTGACCTGTTCACATTTCATGCCATCTCTTTAGCTGTCTTCCTACACTCTTCTTTCCCCCCAGGAGTGTCAAAATTGTGATATACAAATAATCATTTCCCTGAAGCTACTTATGTGAGATTTTTTAAAATGAAATTTTGCTAGCTGCCTACATAGTGGTTCTCACAGTGCATGAATAAATATTCTCAAAATAGCAATATTCTAAACATTTTAAAATACTAATACCAAGGACCTTTTATTGCATTTGTGCGGCTTTAAATGGTTAAAAGTATAGCTATTCCAGGTGAAACTCCTGGGAAAACCACAGTTTCAGTACCAGTCAATTAGTCACTCTGTTTCCTGTTTCCCAGCAGCACTGTCCAGCAACTTCATTTTTAGGCCATTCCAACAAAGCACCTGTTTGATCCACAACTTGTTCAATCTCAGAGACATCCAGTGCAGTACATACAAGAAAAACTTCTCAGAATACTCTTCCCAGATCAGCGAGTCTCACTAGGGAGTGCGACATATAAATAATGTATAATACCTGCTTCATAAAGGCAACTTTAGTTACTGACAGAATCTTAGTACTTGCATTATTTTGTTTATATGACATTTGTGCCAGATACTTTCCTCTATATTAACAACACACAGCGCCAATAATCCCTATCCAATACAGAGAAACCAGAGGTGTCCAACATACATATGCACAGACATCCAGATCTAAGTGTTCTCATTTTTCTGGCCCTATGGAAGGACAAACTTCAAGATTCAACCATTAATTAGTCAATTCCACATTTTAATGTGTTTAAAACCTCATTCTCAAATACGGTTCAATAACATCCACAATAAAATTCGAAAGACACCATTACAAGTCACTTTCTCTTGCTTATGTTATATAATCTTACCTCGATGCTATGTTCAGTCACTTGGCCTGTTTCTCCTTGCGCTGCGCCTCCAGGAAGTTTCCTGATAGTGCAAGCAATCTGTAGCGCTGTTTGAGGTTGCGTGCCCTTACATGAGCTGATAAAACTTCTACAGTATGATTGCCAGGAAACCAACCCCTCTCACCATCACGAATACGTTCCCCTTGATACCAACCTAAAAAAACAGCCACAACATGCTATCACTCAAAGAAACCTACAGGTATTTTCAAAAGTTAACACCTTCTTACACATTATGCACTTCACAGCTTATTCTTCATTCCTCTTATTTCCAATGAAGTATTATTTCATAACTTCCATTATAACTTTATGTGTGTGCGCACATGCAATAAACCATGCTGAACACGCTAATCTACAGGTAACACTCAAGATATATGCAGTAGGCAAAAAGTTCACAGCTTGGCCCAAATACTGGCTACCCTGATTGAGGGTTGTTGTGGTTTTCCTCAGCCCCTCCAGGCATATGCTGGAATAGTACCTTCATTAGGCCATGAGTGGTTTCTTACAAATTATTCCCAATTCATCAATCATTCCATTATCTGACAGTATATAGTCTCAATACTGAAAGCATCGCTAGATTACCTATGGAAAAATAAACCCATCAAAGTCAGTGGGGCCTACATTCCTGGGCATCATTATAACCAAGAATTTACAGGCCACATACATGTATTATGCTGTCGCATGTGTTAGTGACTTGTAGACAGGGTTTGGCTTGGTGAATGGATTTACTGGATGCTCACCAGTCATAACTACACTTAATTATAGCACTCTCAAGATTTGTAACTACAGAACATCTGGTGACAAGTCACAGCTGAATTCTCACAACTCCTTTCCATGAAGGCTTCATGACCTTTACTCACGGCTTTTCAGCTACGACTCTCCATCAAAACTAACTTCTGAATTCACTTCTCTTATAACCACTTTGCACAGACCCAACACAAAACAGTCTGCATTGCTGATGAAGCTTGTTTAGTGCACCATTCCTTAGCAATGGACTCCCTATTGTCACACACTAAAGCGGGAAAGGTGTTTACCAAGCTGTTACCTAGCATTGGGTATCCACATCACATTATTATTACATGCACCATCAGGAGGACTATATGCTCTCCTGTCATAAGAAGTATGTGAGAGTGACACATGACTGAAAAATCCTACTGTTTATACAGTCACAAGTTACTTCACACTTAAGGCTGTAACAGTGTTAAAATTTCCATTTATGTTTGAAATATGGACTTGGAGAAGGGAAACTTGAATTTTCAGTGATGTGTGAATAAAGAACCATGCAAGTCATAATGAAAATCCAGAAAGAAGAGAAGTAACAACACCTGTAACAGTCACAATACTAATGAATTACAGCTTCCTAAAATAATAAACTGTTTTGGCCCTTTTCAGAAAAATATAAAACTCAATATGCCCTAATACAGTATCTGTCCCAGTATTTGAAAACGAACATTTCTGACAAATGTAAGCATATTAACAGATAAGAAAGCAACACAGTCTTACTCCAAAACATTAAGTTAAAAAGTAAACAACAGCACAGTAGGAATCTGGTATCTGTTTCCATTTGTTTTTATGAACTTTAGGTGATAAACATTCAGCCAGAATGTGTGAACTTTCTCACTCTTTTTCTCATGAATTTACACTCTCAAATGCTTTATTCCACCTCACAGATATCCCATAAATGGTGAAATTAGAACAGTACTGACAAATGGAGTGTACAACACCTTCCTACCCCAACAATGCTGTTGAGAAAGAGTTCTCAAGAACTTAAAATCAGATCACATGACATGCATGACCTCTGCCATTTACAGATCATTATTATATATTTCAGAAAGTCATGTAATATTTAAAGCAGAGGTCAACTAACTGTATGTACATGTCCAGGAATCTGTGGATGAATGCATCTGAAATCTTACCATCCGTGATTTTCCTCAGCACATTGACCACATCTGCCACCTCTAGGGAAAGTTCATCTGGCTGGCGAGCTACATAGGGGTGAACGGCTGTAACTTGAGGGCAGTCCCATTCTTCATACACAGTCTCATCAGGGTTGTCAGAGACAGGGGGGTTCACCGCTTCCAGCCATCGCTGCCGATCTGATTCCATGGAACATGACAAGACCTGGCAAAGACAACAAAAATTAAAATTGTAATAACAGGCATATATTATTGAAACACAACAGGAATAAACAAACCAGAATAAGGAAATAAATGTAACAAATCAAGAACATAAGTTAGTAGATTAGCCTTTCACCCATTAAGTTCTCCCATCTAATTATGTTCTTGTTCTGTTTACTTTATTATCTTGCTCTGGCTTACTGCTCCCTGTTCTTCTTTGTATAATGACTGTTTCCACTTAAATACAAGTGTGATTACATGACATTTTCTAAAATAAAAGTGGAAAGATGAGCTCCATTTCACACTACAAAGAATTTGCAAATAAGATGTTCACAAACTTTTCACTCCTGATTATTCAGTGAAGTGCCATATGACATAAAAGACTAATCTATACTAATAGCTAAATCACCAATGTATACAAAACTCTGGTCAGAAGACCTCAAAAGAAGGGACCTCTTCCAAGACTCTGCAAAGCAAAAACAATTAAGGCAGTATTAAGTACACTCAACTATGAACACTAGTCACATTTTTAATGGATAGTATCGAAAGTACTTGTTATTTGTCAATGTCATGCTAAGTAAATTCTCAATATCTAATGTAAGTACTATCATATAAACCCATTTCACTGCACACAATTACAGAAACCTTTAGAATACATACTTAATGTTATGCAAGTAATTATTAAAACTGAACAGATGACAAAGCCACAAGCTATTACTTGAGTACAAGATAAAATACCCAAAGACAAAGATCTTACCATTTCAACAGTTTTCTTCTCATGATTCTGTAGCATTGTGAGCAGCATCAGATTACGTCCACCATCAGATGTGAACTTAACAGGAAGATTTGTCATTCCCTCAGCACTTGTCATCTGAACCAAGTTCCTTGGGCAGTAGTCCACTACAGCGTAGCACTCATCACCAGTAGCATCTGGAGTGGTTCTTCTAAAATGTCAGACACATCATTCATTATCTTCTAACAAGCAAGAAACAGATAAATATTCACAAAATATCAAAATGTGAGCTTTCTTTCACATTAATAACAATAAACTTTACTGTTCTATCCACATTTTCTCAATAAGATAGAAGATGCACACTCAGCAAAACTGTGGCACATTCACAGTGTTACTTACCTTTAGATTTTCAATTCACGAATGCTGACTTGTGATGTTCTCTTATAAATAGCATAAAACATGATTTAAAGAAAATCCACTACTTTATATACTTTAAATGTGTCTTTCCAGTGAACACACAAGAGCTGGTATCATGCAAACTGCAAATAAATAAGCGATTCTGACAATTTTTGCATATCTTCTGAAGAGCACAGGTGACTGCTGAATACACATATTTGGAAATGTAAACACACCATAACAATTCTGAGCCATTTTCTATGTTTCATCTAGCTGCCTTGAAAATCATTAGAATTATGTTAAATTTTTCTCCACAATTCTTGTTTTAAACATTTATCACCCCAATAAATATTGAGTAAGTTATGCTCAAGGTGTGCGCAGAAGCACATGTGAATCTTGACCTAAAAATGTCTGTAATTATTTCCCAACTTTAAGAGGAAAATTTTACTTGGCAAATACTAGAACAGAGTTTAATTTACAACTTCCAATATAGAAACAATTACTGTACTTACCTCTTCTTTTTAGTGATGACCAGCAAGTCTGTGAAGAGGAATATGTGTACTTGAATTCTGGAAAACTTCTTCCCAAAAGTAAGTTTACCCTCATCTCCTCTCCAGACCAGCTGCGTGAGCTCACCCTTCTTGACAAGCCATCGAGTGCTAGAAATGATGGGTATTGCCTTTACTTCATTTGGAAAATAGAGCTGTGGACTAAGAATCAGGATCTCTTCCATGCGTTCCATTCTACGAGCATCCTCATTGCAGTTCTGTACAATCTGTAACAACAGAATACAGTCTTCAAATAAACCACATTCTTAACCAAACAAAGGGGAACATAAAGAGTATAACCTTTGAGATGTAATGCCATGTAGTCTCATGGTCCATTGGCATTCCCCTGAAACACTGGTGACTTCCACAGACTACATGGCATTACAATATAAGGACTGTAATCTTCATAGTCACCACTGTGAGAATCTCAAATACAAGACTGGAAATGCATATATACTGTAACATGACGCCCAAAAGACAGAACAGTGAAGTAAAAAATAGACGTTCATTGCTAGGCAACGACTTTGTGAACACATTCACGCTGGAATGAATACACAAGCAACAATCAAGTGATTTCCATTGCTATTAAACAATGCTGTAAACACATCTCAATAAAGCGGCTGTTTTCTGCATGGTCCGAGCAAAACGGTTACAAGGAACATTTCAGTAGTCAAGTTCTGAGACACGGGTGGGAAGACAGCGACTAACCGCTTGAGCTATAGCGCGGCCAAAGCGCTGTACTTATAGAAAAATTAATTTGTCCAACCACAGATTTATTTTTATGGGTTCAGAGGGCAAATTTGCAGTGAATAATTCCTTTGAATTGAAAAATACAAAATCAATAATGTTTTACTATTTGATTTTGACATTAATATATTTTTTAGTTACTCTGGACTCTTCCACCAGGGATTTCGGTGCTGTTTCTGAATTTCCAAAATCTCCTTACTAGTCACAAAGGTTAGGACTCTTCTAAATCTTTCCATAAAATGTGAACAAATTTATTTTATTTTCCAAAAAGAAACATAAAACTGCACTAAGTGAGAACTTAAGACCACTGTAGGCCGCGGGGCAAGGGCCAAGAAGACCCACCCCTTATACATTCATTCACTCAGGTGGGAACTTACAACAACAAAACAAGTTGAAGCCCAAAGAGTGTATGATACAAAAAGGCTGAAACTGTAGTCAAGTAAGCTGACATGCACAAACTCGCTAGTGCTGCCATCTACTGCACAGATACCCAACCCTTTCACTGTGTATTATTTTCTCACCATTTCCCTAAGTAACACAACTTTATATGAAAGAAAAAAAAATTTCAGAGCCCAGTGAACGAAGTGGAACAACACAGAAATGGAGACGATTAATTCTTAATGTGGACTAAAATCAAATGTGGCATTGTACGATAATGGATACCTGCTTGACTTAAATGCCATACCTCGTACAAACGATGAAATTACTTTGAATATACTTACTTTGTTTAAAGTAGCAAGTGCCAGTTGACAAGTGCTATATTCATCATCTTTTGGATCCAGGCGTGTTAGAAGAGCATCCATAAGCAACGGCAGTCGTGTTATGCGCTGCATTGGTAGCATCAGGAAAGAGTGTAGGGACAGAGACTGACATACAGCGTTACTTTCTAGTTGCAACAGGACTTCTGAAAACTTCGTGTTCTGTTCCCTGCAAGAAACATCACATTAAATACTACATAGGGTATTCACAGTTGCTACATGCTGGAGAACTGGTGATGTGCAAGGAACACCAAAATTGGAAAACTTAAATCAAAGAATATTACTCATGATTCCCAATGTGCAATTCAAATAAACTACTGTAAAATGTTGGTACTGGTGTTTTAGTGTAAAACATCTATCACCTTGGCCAGAGATTGCAGGAAAGCATGTCCTGGTTTCTGTTATCATCACCTTTAACTTTCAAATCACACAGACAGTGGAAGACCAAACTCCACCCAACTGAAGTGACATACTTTTTCACTCAAACTCAAATAACATACCCTGTAGGACTGTTTCATAGAAGATGCTGGTTTTCATTCTGATATTTCATTACACTAAAATCTGAATGTAAAACCAATTCAATAAAATGGTGGATGAAATAGATGAATCTATCCTTCCTGCTATCTTTCAAATAAGTAAGTAAAGCTATCCCTGTGACAGGCCATGAAGGCCCATAGGGTTGAGAGACAGTGAGGGTCCCACATTATCTAGACAATCTGCTCAAAGATGGCGGTAAGGTTGTCAGCCTTATGCACCGGCCGTGCTTTACTCCCCAAGAAAATTACTTATTTAATTCCTGGTACTCATTTCTGTTAAGAGGCTGGGTGAACCCCAGGGCCATAGTGCGGCCGGAAGGATTACGTCAACTGAAAAAAATCCAATGACCTCATTGGTCTTTGAACCCACGACCTTCCAACTTGTAGTATAGTGCCTTAACCACTATGTTACCGCGTGCCCCGCTACCTTTCAAATACCCCATATAAAACAATAATTCAAAAAGAAATGTATGTAGTTGTAGGAAATGAAGATGGCAAATATGACATACAATAATGTGGAACAAGTCACACTTACTTCAACCCACGTAACGTCCTGTCCAGGCAAATCTGATTTGAACAATACTTGACATATGCGCTGAAGTTATTACTAGCATGCTTGTAGACAACGTCACAGATGCCATTCAGCAGGATATTATCTTGCCAACACTTTTCCAGCTCAGCCAGGAAGTGCTCTGAGCAAGTTTTGACTGGAATAATTAACAGAGTATTATGACAGATGACTGTTTACCCAAACATACAGAGGAAAGTTTGTGCTACATCTGCTGCTACTTATAATATTACTTCACAATAAATTACAAATTTTACAAAATATTTTCTGAAACATCAAAGAGAAGTTTTTCCTTTTATCTTTCTTAAAACTGTTTAAACCTTCTGATAAATTGATAAAAATTAATATGATATAAAGCCAAATTAATTACCCACATTTCATAATACACATCAGCTTTAACTAAAAAATGGATTCACTTCAAAGTAGTATCAATTCTGTAATACTAAAATTTACTTAACAACATTCTAAAGTGATCTGACGATGGCTTACTATACTTGGGCCCATGACATTTCTGGACTTTGTCCATTGTCTAGTACTCTGAACATATGCTTGTTCCTTTAGATACTAGATGGTGGATATGTTTAGGAACTCAGGGATCTGAAGAACAACATTCTAAAGTTTTTTTCTTAAACACAGCTGCACAAGTTCTTAAAGACTGTGTGCAATAACTGAAGGAATTGTGACAACTTAATGAAATGCAATGACATGCACTGAATGTGGTTACCTGGAATTAGATTAGAGAATAAGGTTCGTCTATCATTTTTAGACAGGACAGACTCATCATATGCTTCTAGACTAGACATAAAATGTTTCTCGAGAACATTTAAAGAATTGATGTATGATGCTTCTGATGTAATAATTTCAAACTTTGCTTCTTGTAATTTCTTCTGATGTGTGCTCAGTGTACCTGAAAATAAGCAACATAACAGAAGTGTACCCGAACTGATGAGTCACCAACAGGAATGTGTACAATGTATATTATGGTTAATTTTTTAAACAATTTTTTTTTCCTTCCAAGTATTCAATTTAAAAATTCCTGATTTGTATCCATAAGTAGCACCTTATCATGAAAGGCAAGAAACTTCTTCAGGAAGCCATGATGTCATTTAAAGACACACAATTGAAAAAACTCTTCATGCATATTCATCTCAGACATAAAAGTGCAAATTTAACACCTCCAGTCCTAGTAATGGTAATTTTTGTGACTAAAATTACCTTAAATTGAAATATCACTTTTATTAAGATCCACCTTTTGTACACGAATTCACAACCTGGTGCTTGATCATATGTTCTCGAATTTTGTTATGTTAACATTACATCATGTAAGCCTACTACACACACAGGCTTGAAGAAATTACCAACAGATATTCCATATCAGGTATGTTATGATAACCTCATATAAGAAAGAGCTTACTTCCATATTCCACTCTGGATTTTTCATATGAAACCTGCAAGTATTCCCCTGTCAACACACTTGATATAATGCACTTAATTCTAAAGTATGGTCTTCATATTTCCTCCCATGTCTCTTCTTTCTTATAACAAAACTCCCTTCTTCCCAACATGAAAGATTCAATGTGAACTGTATTATGAATATCTACTCATTACAGTTCAATAATTTCTTACTAATCCTGGTAGCAGATTGCAAAAGTACAATTTCATTGATTCTAAAGCCCACAGACAGATACAATATGCCAGTTTTACATAAAAGTTTTCCTCACAACTTATCCCTTCCAACAAAATTACTAAGTCACATTTGCCCTTACTTAAAACACGGCTGCTGACAACTTCTGGAATCTCGCACCAAAGTGTGCGATGTTGACCTTCGCGAGGCTGAATCAATTCCATGGCAGTAGGCCGTGAATATCTCACTTTCTGAGAACCATCACCAATTTCTTCATAGCCATCAGAGTCCAGTTCACTTCGCATATCTCTCTAAAGAAATACACTTCAATAAACCTTATTTCAATAAACTCTGATAACAGATCATTGAAACACAACAATAAGTACACCAATACATGGCCATCAGCTTAGCTGAAGCTGAGGTAACCTGCACATATGAACATTTATGGCATATATAGTATGCGCCAAAATATACAGTACTGAAATGAAAAGACATCCTGTTGATACCACTGTCTATTCATGTTAAGGCCCCATGCACGACAGAACCTTCTCAAATCTTGAAGAAATGGCCCAATCACCATGTCCCTGTAGCATTCTTGGGTGACAGTAAGAGCATTGCCTTCCTCATCCTCAATGAAATAGGGGCCTAATATACCGTTTGCTGAGACGGCACACCACATCGTCCCACATGTACTATGTAGCGGTTTCTGGACAATAACATCTGGCCACTCAAAACCAAGGAAGGGAGTTGTCTGGCGACTACTTCCATATGAGCAGAAATAATACTTAACTATGAATACTTTTTTCTCTGTCGAGAACCCATTTCCAACTGCACAGCGTAACTTCCTTTTCCCTACTGGGAACACGTGCGGCTGGAGCTATGCCCCATCAACAAACGCACATGTGCATTTGAGATGCGTGAGTTTCAGTACTCTATTTTTGGCGCATACTGCATATAAGAATTCATGTTTCGACAACACTATACCATACACAGTAAAGGCATTATCATCGTAAATAATTATTTGGCAATTACAATTATTTTAAGGATTATGGATGCAATCTGATCGGTTAGTTTTAAACTTTCAGTTACATTTCTTACATTATTGACGATGGAGGTTACATGAAGTGAAATGTGCGGACTATGTTATGTGGCCATAGACTTTTTACCTTATCATTTGCCTTAGTCTTTTAAAAAAAAACAGGAGAAACCTCAGCTTGGGCAGCTACCTATCAAGCCAAAAATCAAAATGGGCCTTCATGACATGAAGCGGCAGTACAACCACCCAGCCTTCATGTTAGGCTTTTGCATTTTCCGATTCTTTCCTTCAGGTAATCTTACGCAGTTGACAAATGTACTGCTGTTGTACCAAATAGCAGATATTGATTTTTATAGCATGCAGTCAGGCACTGTCAAGTTTATACTGGTACATCTGATTCATGTAGAAGCCTGTGTTTACCAGCACTTCAATTAAATAACGATAAAGTCACAGGTTGTAGTATATAATGGCTGTAATTAAATAGGCAATCTGCTTGCAGTGGAACAGATTTCTTGGTGGCAGCTGTTGTTACAAATGAAAGTTCTGAAAAGAGCTTTTTATTATTTTATTATAAAGGTTGTTTACAAAAATGTTTAATCTAGAAATGCAACTGAATTGAAAAACTCACTATTAAGTAAAATGATGTTGCTTGCTTCACATTTAGTGTAGCTTACCTCTACCACACCTGCAGTGTAGAATTGATATAAAGGTTCATCAGCAAACCGCCTTTCAACTACACCACTGTTCTCTGGGCTGCCTGCTGTCAATGGTGAATCTCCTCCACTGAAATCAGTGTGCTGGCTTCGTGCATCTGCGCCACAAATAAACAAGTGTTTGACAAGAGTACAATGCACAAATGGATATATTTGTGCCTGTACTTACATACCTCTTGCAAGTAAAACGTTTCTGCTACATTAGTGCTTTTAATTGACTTCAATGTTACACCAATTTGCTTACAATGACAAGGGATGTGTGAACACTTGAGCCTCCAAACTTCATTCACTAAAACTTTCTAAATGTAACTTCAGAATTTAAGTTTTTATTTCTTTAATTCACTAAATAATTAGAAACTCTGTACTGCAAGCTCAGCTGATCAGACCACTCTGTATGTAGGGTCACTACTGCCATAAGTGCATACTGTCTCATGCAGGGTGGCAGCAGTATGATTAATTATAAATTTTACAGCAGGAACCAAAATTATGCAGCTCATATAAAAATAAGATTGGAATTTGTTCCATGTCCCTTCCTTCCATCCCAGACATAAATATTAGCATTCCTGTTTTTATGACAAACAGTATTTTTGAAGTTAGATCATCTAAGTTTCCATAGAATAAATCTTGTATCCATTATCAGAGAACAAACAAATTATAGTATGTGGAAGTTATGACTGCAAGTGTGGTCCAAATTCATATTTCACTGCAAAAAGTTACCATGCACCTTTAGTACTAAGTATGCCAAACAAAAATTCATATACTAAAACATGAACCTACTCTCAAGTGAAAATTTATAGCAATATTTCAAAATAGTATAGTATACTGTTCTCAATATTTTAATCCCCTTACCTTAGCAGCCTCCGTAGTCTAGGGGTAACGTTCCCGCCTCATGACTCAAGTTACGCGGGTTCAAACCCGGCGGAGGTCGTGAAATTTTTAAGGGCGGAAAAATTCAGGGAACAAGTCCTCTGGGAGGGACTTCAAGCCGTGGGTCCCGTGTCATAGATTTACGGCACATAAAAATCCTGATGTCTCTAGCAGACCTCTGAGCAAAATCAGGCAAAAAGTTTCCCACCCAAGTAGTTTCCAATGCCTCCGGTAGATGGGGAAGTTATCGGGTACCAATAGCCAGTAAAGGGCCAACCTCGCCGGCAGAAAAGGGAGAGTTATCGGGTGCCACTGCCAGTAGAGGGCCGACCTCACTGGCAGAAAGGGGAGATAGCGGGCACCAGTATCAGTAGGGTATGGCAACAGAAGAAATTAAAGGATTAGTTGCGGTGCATGGGGAAAACCACCCCCCTCTATACTGAATAACTGAATAACCCCCTTACCTTGCTCAGAGAGAGAGCTGTCATTTGGACTTGAAGTACTTGTATCCCAAAGACCAACTTCAGCATACCAAGAATTTGATACTGGTCGGTCTTGCTTTCTTATATTTCTCTTTTGTGCATCTAGATAATAACAAATATTAATTTTTTAAAAACACACCATTCAAACAAGCACAACATTTGGTACAGAAGTAGTATAAAACTTAATGCACATCCCCTATTACTGAGACGGGACTCAAGAAGCTACTTCTCCAAACCATATGCACTGTGTCTGTATATGAAAAAGAACTCAGAAATGCTAGCATTCTGCTTCTAGATCATACTGGAAGACCTACCAACAAATTACTCTTTTCTTCAGGTTCCTCCATTAATCCTGCATACAAATCCAAGTAATTTCATTTTCTCTTCACATTCTGTGCTATCGCTGAGATTTTTCAGTACTAACTTAGCACAGATTTTCTTCATATTCAGATGTTCATCCAAAACTAATTCCATAGTTTCACTATTCTTAATCATTTCTTCTCCTATCTTCTGAAGAGCCACAATAAGTTCTCGCCATTTCACATGTAAGTAAAGTAAAGCTATCCCTGTAACAGGCCGTGAAGGCCCATAGGGTTGTAAGATGTTGAGGGTCCCACATTATCTAGACAATCAGCTCAAAGATGGCGGTAAGGTTTGTCAGCCCTATGCGCCGTCCGCGCTTTACTCCCCAGGAAAATTATTTAATTAATTTCTGGTACTCATTTCTGTTAGAGGCTGAGTCGACCCCAGGGCCACAGTGCAGCTGGAAGGATGAGGTAAACTGAAAAAAATCCAATGACCTCATCCGAGATTTGAACCCGCGACCTTCCAGCTTGTAGAATAGCCCCTCAACCAACTACGCTACCGCGTGCCCCCCACCATTTCACTTGTGGATCAGTTATTGATCATGTAAGATGGATGGAGGTCTCATCTTCTGTACCACTTTTCTTCAAAAAATACTTTAACATTTACAAAAACTGTGTTCTACACATTATTCTCTTTCCCTCTCTATAAATTTGATGTAACATTTTGTAGATGTCAGAGACATTTTCCTCCTATTTCAATAAAATTTTATGAGTAATGCTGACTCTATTCTAACAATTTAGTACCCATGGATTTAACAAATGTACCAATGCACTAATAAATGACCATAATTATTAAACTGAAATCTAAAGACTTGACACAAAACTGCTGAATAATGCAGGCATGTGATCCAACATGAAGCAACTGTATCAGTGTTGTAAGGTAACATTATATAGTTGAACAATTAGTCACACCTTGTAACATATTACTCAGCTCAAGCAAGAAATGTAAACAGACAATAACTGACGACTATCAATATATGAACATATCACTATACTAGTACCTAAGGCAGCAATAGAAGAGACAAAAGTCAAAGAACATAATGTATTGTACACTATGAAGAAAGCAGTCTTCTGGGCTTTGGCGCCGTGTATATGTGGTGTTAACCGACGTTTCGGAGGAACGTATCGCCCCCATCTTCAGGGTTGNGTACACTAGTTTGTAGTCTCCATTCCTTTCCTATTGTTATTGAACAATGCTGTCAGTATTGAGAACAACCAGCATCAGTGAGAGGATCAGTAATGAGTATGAAGCAGGTGGGCAGGGGAAATTTAGGTACTTAGAAAAACACATGCCCAGTGCCATTTTGCCCGCCACAAATCCCACATAACCTTATCTGAAATTGAACCCAGGCTGCAACATTAAAAGCTGGTGCCTGCCTGAGCAATGGTATGGCCTTAGATTTTGACTGACCACGGCACACTAAAATAGTAATCTTACACGAACACTCCTTTGGTGCCCCATACAATAATCTTAAGTATGTCATATTCCTGAAGAGATACAATTAGAAGTCATGTTATTCACGGTAGTGACAAGTCACCCATGCAAACCTGCATGAACATATCTGTATTACACTTACACCTTGAATGCACCATATTATACCCAAACACAGTCATAATTTGCATTATCATCATTACATGACATTACATTTTAATTTCTGTTATCATCATCGCTATCTTGTGTTCTGTATCGAAATACCACGTATATGTAAATTCCTTAACTGCAGCCATAAACTGAAGGAATATAACAAAAAAACAGCTGAATTGTAAAGCTTCAAGTTTCAGTTTTCTAAGTTCCTTGGCTTCTGAGTCAAGTGTGTTAATATACTAACCCAAACATACCATCTTTTATTTACATAATGATAATACATGAACCAAGTCTATGAAAACTGATATGTATACACTGGCTCCTAGTACCTATCTTGCACAGTTAGTACAAGAACTATGCTGACAGTCTTCTCCTACACCCCAAATTGTCACTATTTTGCTCCTAGAATATGCATAACAAATTTTTACCTAAAATGACAAGTCATATTTCCATACACAATCTGGAAAGTTACCACTACACCAGCTCAGTTGGTTGGAGAGGTTACAGCATCTAAATGTCTTTTAACTGAATCTCACCACTGCTCTGCAGACATGTTTCAATCAATTAGCAATAAAATATATGAAATGTACACACCTATAATTCCAATATTCTGAACGTCTCTCTGGTCAAACAGTCCACATTCCGCATACCAGGACGTGTTACCTGAACTTCTTTTCTCCTTACGTGGAGGTTTCTTTGGATTATCTGAACAAAGAAAGTACAGCTAACATATTTTCTGCTGTGCAGTAGGTGTAACATCCCGACACAGCAGGATGGTATTAACATGCTTGGCTGAGTGCAGAAATTTTGACCAGCACTATCTTCTGGGTTGATACTGCGTAGTTTGGTGTAAGTTTATCAATGTTTCAGATGAATGTACTGCCTATGTCTTCAGGGTCAAAAAATTGAGCAAAGTTAACAACCACAGCACAATCCTACTTACTTGCACAGCTTACTCTTGGAACCTGAAGATGGAAGCACTATGTTCCTCCAAAACATTAGTAAACATTACCAGATTACACAGGGTCATATCCCAGAAGACAGTACCCTTCACAACCACCACAATGAGAACATCAGATCTCACATACACAATTCTTTTTTTTTTCTATTTCAGAACTCAAAACGTAAGGGTAACCTACAAGTTGTATGAAAAATTGAATTCTCCTTGGGCTATCTTTCTATACAATGAGCCTGGAAATGCAAATAGCAATCTCCAAATTATTTTCACATTCTTCACTTACTGTTGTACGCAAAAGTGGAAATTATATATACAGGTGAGGCATGGATAGAGCTAATCAAACAACTATTAACACAGGAATTCGAAGTTTCTGGCCATGGCAGATTATAACCCAGTAAAACAGCTTACAATTTACTACCTAAAAGTGTAAGATTGTTCTACTACCTTGTGCACTAAAACAGCCACCCATCCCTAGTACGATGTGACTTCAGAATTCACCCATTTGTATTAGAACCCTGAAGTGCTATACTAGTAACACAAATGTCTCTCATCGGACTTCATTGTGACAACAAAAATTAGTCCACCTCTCCACAACCTAGTTCTCTCAAATCTAGTCCGCATGAACCTTTCTACCTCGATTTTAAATAGAAAACTTTGCCATACTCTTTCTTCCTCTCCATGTCTCACATCATCATGTAGTCAGTCTGTTCCAAGCCAATCAACATTTCTGAGGAACATGTTGCGTCACCCTCGTTTCTTGCTTGACTTATTATTTGGCCCTTATGATGGAGACAACTTGTTCCTCAAAAACATTGGCTTTCAACAGAATATATAACATTATATCCCAGGAGGCAGAACTCTTCAGGAATGAAAGGACAGGTTCAGGTCAACAGATGTTCAAAGTGCTTACTGCAAATAATTTAAACATAACAATTTCTTCCTCCTCATTAAAACTTACCTGAGGAGCCTGAACTCTGGGGAGGAAGAGGAGGAGGCGAATTGGGACGTACGCTGCCACTATTCCTTCTCTCAGGAGCAGATTTCGGTCTCTGTTTCTTGCTATCAGCAAAGTTCATGAGGGTCTTCTGTAACCCCTCTGAGCTGTAGTTTGCCTCTACACCGCTCTCATACACAACTGTCTTGCTGCTCCCCACACTTGAAGGACTAGTTGCAATATCGTCATTTTCTATGTAAATGTCAGCAACATCAGATTTCCTGGAACAGATGTGAAACATAAAATCGAGTTACATCAATATGTGCAAGCAGCAAAAAACCAGAATTTTACACGTGACCAAGAATAACATTTTCAGTTTCAGATGAGAATTTAGAAACATTTCATGGTTCAAAATAAGAACAAGAATTTTCTCTACCACACCAATATTTTCACTGTAACCACAATTACAACACTGCCAACTTTGTAGACTTTATTACTAGTTCCATTTCCATACCAGATGCTCATCAATGAAATTTTTCATGAATCACTGTACCTAAAAATATTCAATTCTAGGGCTAAGTCCTTTTCAGCCTGGGCAAAATGTGGGGGGAAAATACAGAGAGAGAGAGAGAGAGAGAGAGAGAGAGGTTTTGTTAACAAGTCAACTCATGCTAGTACTACCAACCATTACAATTCTGATAGCTGAAATCTTGCTCTATTTAAATGCATTATTATGCTTTCTGTATCTGTTGTAGTTTTCATTAAAAAAAAATATGAGGCATTATATATGGAACGCTCCTCGTATATACTACAGCATGTAACAACTAATCTGACTAAACTATGACACATGTTAATGGCTACAGTCAAACTTACCTATCGACAGTTCCCTCGACATTGCCTGTGTCAGCATCAAGCGCCTGGGTGAGGTAGAACGTGGCAGTTTCCTTCTTTGGGCCACTAGATGGTGATGTGGGTGGTGTCTGATCTGAGGCAGATACACTTCGCCTGAATTTGCGTAACGACCAATATTTGCGTCCTGCTAGATTCCCTGATGATACAGACTTCTCTGATATTCGTGGGGGAGGGGCTGGTGGTGATGGAAGAGATGCGGGAGGGGAGGGAGGCGGTGGTCTTGGTGTGGTGGGAAGTGGTGGACAAGCTGTGACAGAACAGGAAGAGAGGGAAAAATTAATTTTGCCTCTCATTAATGTGTCCTGAAAATTAGTTTAACATTGCATGCACATATTCCTACTAAATACAGAAATCAAATTTACATATTTTCTATATTATCATTTGTATTAGATTCTGACAAATTTATAATTGTTATTTATAATCGACTGAAATGCTATTACCAAGCTCCATTCATGCCAGACACCTTAAGAAATGAAGAAAGCAGTGTTGTGGGATGTGGCACCGTGTAGATGTGTTAACAGACGTTTCAGAGGAACGTATCGCCTCCATCTTCAGGGTAGAAGGAAAAATAAATAATCCACAAGCGAAGAGACCGTAAGAACCGGTACAAGCAGGTTCCTCCGAAACATCGGTTAACACATCTACATGGTGCCGCATCCAATACCTTAAGAAATATTAGCAAATGTGCAATTAAAATGAAAATGGGAATACCTGGGACTTTGCATGCAACAAATTAGNAGACTGCTTTCTTCGTAGTCGCCGCCATGAAAACCTCAAATCTTACCTTAAGGAATATCAGCAAATGTGCAACTAAAATGAAAATGGGAATACCTGGGACTTTGCATGCAACAAATTAGTTAGATAACATGACAGATCAATAATGACACAAGAGAAAATATTCATTTATTAGGATGTCACATAATAATACCTACAGTTTAATTTGAAAAACATAAAAATACTAATACTTTGGTGCATCTGTCACTGCCAAGAGTATGAGTAGGAAGCAACACATGTTTTTTTTTAATTCCCTATTATGGTATTCTAAGGTGTGATGTACACCAAATTGGTGAGGAGGAGGACCACAGTAATGGCTCCTTGATGATACTGTACAAAGCCATAAACATTCAAATTCACAAGATAAAATATTTACTGAGGTTCCTATTTTCTGTCCAGCCTCTTTGTTTAAACACAAAAGCAGGCATCAACTAACAAATGCCATTCATTTCAATTCACTGTTAATGTGAGCTTGCCAATTTAATTCGGAACTCTACCCACATTTGGAAATTCACCTCTGAAAACATGACAAGGGCTGGAAAATGAACTCCTGATATGAACTCAGAAATGGGAGTTATATATGAATCAAGAATAACTGCAAGTTTCCATTGTCAACATCTCTGGCAGAACATGATTCCAAAGTTACTATTTCTTTCAGGATGAATAGGATGAACGACTATTTACCCACTACTATTTAAAAATACATTCCAACTTAGCCAAAGCACAACCCAATGCAGACACTTTCTTTCAAAAATAGAAATCCAGTAATACAAAGAATTTTCAGAACTCCTAACATTAGTGATAACACTGAACGAAATGAACTCACTACTGCTTCCGTCACACACCTTCCAACACTGTGTGTGTGATGGGAGAAGGAAATGTCAATAAAAATGTGGTGTGGTAACGCTGTTTAAAGAGTACTCAGAAAACCCTAACATTGAGAGAGGAGCTATTAACAGCAAGGAAAATGATCTGTTGTGTAGTTATATGGATCTGACTAAGCTGGCCAAGGCAAGGCCCAGTAGATGAAACGTGTAGTAGTGGTCACGAACCTCATAGCTCCACATCAGTGAGACAGCCCCATAGGCCAATGGTAGAATAACAGCATGCAGTAATTTGTGGGATTATTCATTTGTCCTAAAAGGACATTAATCTTCCTAAACCATTCCCTCAAATATGAGAGTGGTTTGTAAAGACAAGGTACTGTGGATGTGAGGTGTATCCAGTTAGTGCTGAAAGATAGGAATTGGGGAAGACCACCCATAAAACATGCACATGCATACAAGTAATATTTTATGATTAGCAACTGATCTCAAGTATCAACATATCATTAATGAAGCCTTTCAATGCCAGTTGGACTGTTCCAAAACAGGGAAAAAGTCCCAAGCCAATTTGTTAAAAAGAACTCAAAGCTACTGTTCAGTATCCTTGTCCAATGCCTGTTTGTTCACTGTCATTGCTTAAATATACAAAAACGAATGCCGACAATTATTAACCCTATGCAGAATATATGAATATATGCAGTCTGCGAACATGCTGTTATACAGTACATGCCAACATATGCTCTAATAATTTCTCCTAGTCTTTCAGAAATGTCCAGACCTCTCTACTGCATCACTCCATTATGTTCTTATTTTTATGTGCTATTTTTTATTACAATTTTAATTTTGTTTTTCATTCGTGTGGCTGAGGCTATATGCTACAAGCTGGAAGGCTGCAGGTTCAATTCCCAATGAGGTCAATGGATTTTTCAATTGACCTAATCCTTTCAGCCACACTATTGCCATTGGGCCAACTCAGCCTCTAACAGAAATAAGTAACAGGAATCTCCCTGAGGGTAAAGGGTAATTTGCATATAAGGCTGAAATCCTCACCGCCATCTGTGAACCAACTGTCTAGAAAATCTGGAAGCCTCTATGGCCTGTTACAGGGATAGCTTTTCTTTCTTGCATAATATATTTAATAGCCATTCATTTGTGCATGATGCATGTAAATCTATGTATCTAGATATTAATGGGACATTTTACATGGTCATGTTCACATATCCACATAATGTATTCACTCTGACCAACATGGATTCACTTAACATGCCATTCTTGAGGAATGAAACCACCATGTTGGATGAGGGTTTAATGTAGTAGTAATGATTTTAAAGGGCCACGCCATAGCTCAAGCGGTTAGTTGCTGGCTTCCCACCATGGCGGCCCGGGTTCGATCCCGGGTCTGGTCAAGTGGGATTTGTGGTGGACGAAGTGGCACTGGGGCAGGTTTTCTCCGAGTACTTCTGTTTCCCCTGCCAATCTTCATTCCACCAATTGCTCCACAATCACCCTCACCTATCATCTGGGGCCGGTACAATAGGCCAGAAGTGGCTGCAGTAGAAGAGACTTAGTCCCACCCCACTAACAATAAAAGGAAATGATTTTAAAACTCTGCAAATAATTATAACCATATTCTTACATTAAAGTTTCTCATGCTATGTCAAAGGTTACAGTAAAATACTACGTTCCTGTAGCTATTGTACATTTTGCATCAAAATAAAATCTCATTCTTAATTATGCTGGTACCTTTACGCTGAACTTCTGCTGCTGTGTTACTGTTTCGCTTAGTTCTGATCTTGCGAAGGCTCTTGCCCAGTTTGAGCATCTTCTTTCCTGCAGCCTCAGCAATCTTACTAATGCCATAGATGTTCTGTCCAGGTGGTGGTTCCGGCAGTCGTCCATTAGCAATGTCACAGCCTGCCTTTAGAGAGAAATATTTATCTTTAAAAGAACACTACACAGGTATCCCTCATTTTACTAATTTTTGCTACAACAAAGCATGTTAATTTGTACCTGCCTGTCATTCACTGAACTTATTTTCCCCACAACGAACAGCTTACTTTCATAAGTTCAGCAACTCTTACAGGTATAGTAATGGGAATTTCATTATTGATTTACAGATTTTAATCTTGTCATTAGTTTTCACGGAATATATTGCCTTAGTAAATCAGATCTATATCAGATTACATTCATCTTCAAGCATATGTCTCTTTTCTCAATGAAGTATTGGATATCTGTGCTACAATAATAAATTAACACTTTTTTTTATTATTATTTTTTTATTGCTAGTAGGGTGGGACTAAGCCCCTTGTACTGTGGTCACTTCTGGCCTACTGTACCAGCCCCAGATGGTAGCTGAGGGTGACGGTGGAGCAATTCATGGAATGAAGATTGGCAGCGGAAACCGCAGTACTCTGAGAAAACCTGCCCCAGTGCCACTGTGTCCGCTACAAATCCCACTTGACTAGAGCAGGGATTGAACCCGGGCCACCGCGGTGGGAAGCCAGCGACTAACCGCTTAAGCTTTGGCTCAGCCCAATTTACCCTTTAATTTGAACTTTCATTTTTCAAATCATTCAATTTAATTTAAAAAAAAAAACTAATGTAAATTCACTCACCTATCTCCTTCTGTAAAAACTTAAATCTACTTCCTATGGCATCAGAAGGAAACCAACAACATTAATGAGGGGGAGAACCAACAACTGTGTTTGGGGTACACCCTTTCTTACAGCTGCAGCAATAACACTGGAGGGCAAATAAAACAAAAGATCTACAATCCTCCCTGCACTCAGGACATATAAAAACACATCCTTTTACATCATGCAGTGAAACTCCTCAAATATGATGTGCATTTCCAGTGCTCTAGTAAGTGCTGTTTTGTATTCACACGTCCATTTAAACAAAACTAAGCCTCGCCTGAATAAGTTTGTGACAATGTGAGAACTTCATCTACTTGAATTTGTCATTTACTGTATGTGGAGTAATCATATAACTGAGAATTTAAATTTTTCTTATTATTTTTATAATATAAATTCACTCTCAGTACGCCTCACTACAACACTTCAGTGGCACAGCTTGACAACTCTGTGCATTGATCAAATGCTGCTTCCATTCGAAGGATATGAATCTATTAATAATATCTAGCCTGTGCGCACATCTGATGATTCAGTTGTACATCTTACAATCTTAAAAACACAATAAAGGTCACTATAACAAAACAATCACATAAAACACAGGGCCACACTTTATACAAGGAATTAGAAGTGAAGAACATCAAGCTCTTTCCTCTACCTGATGTGATGGTTTGATGTATGTTTCATCAGACACATCAGAGTCAAAGGAGTCAAAGTCATCATAAGGCACTGCATCAATCTTACTGTCCCCTACAACTTCACACAGCATTTCATAATGATGATCTGCATCCGAGTCAGAACTGTGATCTCCTCCTGCAAGAATATACAGACAGGAAATCAATATCATTAGATACAACAACAATTAAATGGTAGATAAAAATGTATCTCCAGTATTTTGTCACAAGTTAGTATTCTCCTTAAATCCAAATTCTTACTGCATACATGCATCACAACTCGTATGTTCCTAAACTAACCTTCCTTTTCCAGGAAAAAGGTCATCTCTTGGCTCTCATGAGCATCTCCAATGTAGAGAATTGCTCGTAAAGAGACCAAACCTGCAGATCCACTACAGCGTTGATGGGGAGTGACTGAAGGCTTGTGAGCAGGGGGATCAGGGGCTCCCAAATATAATACAGAGGAAGAGGACACGTAGACTGTAATAAATTACCCAACATAAACACCAATACAACTTTAAACATATAAAGCAAAAATATCAACATACAAATCCAGTGTCCACAAGCAACAAAAGTAAAATTTGTTGAAAGAAAAATGGGCTAGTTTGGTTGGCTTTCATTGTTTCTAATTAGCAAATCCTCTTCACTTCAAAGTTGCATGCCCTGCCAAAAACAGAAAGAAAATGTCACTACACTGTTTTCTACAGCCCTGGAGATTTCTTCCTTCATTTGCCATTTTCGTATACAAGTTCCATATAGAACTTTGGAACTTTACAATTTGAATTTATGAGCCTCAAGAAACCAGGTATAATACTATACTTCTGTGGGAAATGATAATCGCCAAGGAGGGGAGGGAGATGACGCGTAAATATGCTTGCATTTTTACTTTCCTTCAAAACACTGTATAACCGTAAAATAAATACAACTTAGCAACCACACTGAATAACTGTTTCTGGCTGTATAACGTTAAAAATAAAATCTTAGATAAATCATATAACATGACAAACAAACCTTGGTCCGCACAATGAGGTCTGGGGCGACGATAATATGACTCAACAGAAGTTTGAGAGGCATTCATATAAGTATGTCTACTACGAAAACCACTAGTCATTTCTACATTTTCTTCTCGACAAGACTTATCGCGCAGCAAGTAACCTAATATTTCCCGCAATTAATCACAGAATTTAAGGCGCAGACTATGGGGGAACAATTATGTAACACTATACACATTCCGTTTGCGAACATTGGCATACGCTTGAGCTTTTAAAAAATGGTTCTCAAAACCTCTGGCATGAGCAGGTACTAAAAACGAACGCTTCCCTTCTTTTCAAGGCTACATTATTTTCAGAGCATGACACTGAGTGATATCATTACTACAACCCACCCAATGCCTACGCCGCCTTCTTATGCATTCATTCACCATTAAACACAACACTGCTAACACCATCATGATTTCCTCAATCCACGTTAATCGATTACATTCGAAAGAAAATTAGCAGCGTTATCTGATTTACTAACAGCTGACACAAGCCAAAACGAAGACTTCGAACAACTTTCACACACGCTATTCTCATTCAACTACAACCTGTTTAGGCTCTGCATTGAGGCCACCTGTTGGGTTGCTATGACGACATGGTACTGCTTGTTCGAGATACTCGCTCACAATCGATTGCAGTCTGTCCAACCCGTAGGCAATGCATTATGCCGCCAAATCTTTAAAACGGAATTCCCTTTCGCATGCTTCGATATTACAGGTATAGGATCGAATGCATTAAGCACACGCCCTTAAAACCAAGGGCACGCGGTAGCGTAGTTGATTGAGGCACTATGCTACCAGCAGGAAGACTACAAGTTCGATTCCCGATTAGGTCACTGGATTTTTCAATTTACTTAAACCTTCCAGCCGCACTGTAGCCCTGGGGTCGACTCATCTTCTAACAGAAATAAGTATGAGTAATGTTCCTGGAGATAATGGGCGACCGCCCCACGAGGCTGACAACCTCACTGCCATCTGTGAGCCGACTGTCTACAAAGTGTGTGAGCCTCGACGTCTCACGACCCTATAGGTCTCCAAGCCCTGTTACAGGGATAGCTTTACCTTTTACATTGAAACCACTGCCTTTAACACCATCTCTGCTATGATAAAAATGTCGTTTTGTTACACCAACATCACTGAAATTGTAGGTTCGCTAGAAGTCGGCCTCATAATTTATTGGCTTATATTTTGTCGTCCGACTGTCAGACTGCCAGACGGTTCGCTATAAATACGTCCACTATTCTGTCGCCAGATATTTCGTAAAAAGTACAAGGATACGCGATCTTTCGCACATGCACCGATTTATACATGTTGGGGGAAGAATTAAAAGGTTTGCAATCATAATAGCATGCATCCTGTTGTGTGTCATAAACACAGTACAAAAAATATATACAAAAGTATGCAGTCTACAGAACAATATTCTGTAATTAAAACAAAGCAGACACTATCGTATCAACATTTGTTTTGTTGATGCTACATGTTTCGACCCTTAGGATAATGATGACCCATGTAGCGTCAATAAAACAAATATTGATACGATAGCGCCTACTTTGTTTTAATTACAGATTATCGTTGTGTAGACTGAATACTTTTGTATACAGAGAACCATGTATGCGAAGATAGAGGGGTGGATAGAAGTGACCAGAAGACGAGAGAGAAGACGTAAGAAGATGCTGGATGACCTTGGGAACAGAAGAGGATATTCTCATTTGAAGGAGAAAGCTCTAGATCGCATTAAGTGGAGGAACTGTTTTGGAAGAGACTGTGGACCTGTCGTCTGACAGATTACTGATGAATGAATGAATTATTAAATAGGTTTCTCTCTGTCTTGGCATTTTGATACATTTCTCACACAAAATGTGCATTGTGAAATTCGAGGCTTTATTCATCAAACATTTAGGTGCATTTAACAGATATGCCAGGACTGCTAAATACACTGGACGTTCTTTGCCAGGATATAAGTCAAGTGTCTTTCTTTTATATTCCTGTTACTCCCATTGGAGCATAGGGCATCCGTGAAACGCTTAGTTTCACTTCAGTTTCTTAATCTATACACAAACGGTAGTACTGCTTGGATGAGTGAGCAGCTTGTCGCAAGGCCTCTACCTAGATACAAGACGACACAAACACAGAATAAACACATACACACAGCAAACATCCATGTCTTGTGTGGGGTTCGAACCCACGATCCCAGCCTCCGACCGAGCGAAGACAGTTCATGCCTTAAACCGCTTGGCTACAGTGACCGTTATATGAGAGGTAAAGTCGTTTAAAATTCAACCGAATTTGTGGATTTCATAATGTAATATCAAGACATTTATGTTTCAGTTCATGCCACTCGGGTTAAAGGACAAAACTGCTTTAACTCTGAATGAAAATTCAATCTTCGAAACTGAACACCGTTTACTCTGTTTGGGAGCGAATTTACAAAGATATTTTCCCAATATAACAAACGAAGTGTTTCCTTTGACCAAAACGCCACTCACGTAACAAATATGATATAAATCGTATAGAAATCGAAGTTTTGAGTTCGCGGACTCGTAGCATATTAAAGCACACAAACATAGTTCTGAGAATCTTTTTTCCTTTCACTAGTACCTACGAATGTGAAGGTTGGTTTTCCAGGTTACTTCAAGCAGAATCTAAACACATAAAGAGGTTCAATGTGGAAGAAAAGCTTGCATGTGCACTATACCAGTAGTTCTCAACCTTTGTCAGACCGCGCCCGGTAAATTCTTTTTTCTACAAGACGAGGGCCCGGTACCAGGCGGTTGAGAAACACTGCACTACGCAATTCCGGTAATTAAACAACTAATAAAAGTGAAATTAGCGCAACTTTCTCACTGTTTTTTTTCTGTGAAGAAACAGAATATGGGTTTATTCCTTTTAAAAGCGAATTTAAAGTATGTGAGACCTGAGGTCATTATATGGTGATGACTGCGATGAGTACTATCTTCTGGAAGTGACGCTGTATAATCTGGTAAACGTTTACAGCCGTCTTTACTCTGTATCGCATGAACCACGTAGGTTCGTTCGCATTTTATCGAAATATACAAGCAATAAGAATATTTGTGGAAGGTAAAATCAAAAGAACATTCAGATCGTAATAAAAGCGAGACGAAAGAGCTACTGATAAAAATGAATTAAAAGAAATGTCCAGATGCGAAAGAGGATAATGTAAAAAAAAATTCTCTGCGTACCTGCTTTCGAAAGGGGGAAAAAAAAAGAATTGAAGACAGCCGGAGCTGGGGTTGACATGCCAATCTGTGGCACTTCAGTGATCTCTTATTTCTGGAGGACCAAGAAACCCCATGAAGAAGTGTCAACAATGGTGGTTCAATACACAATGACGAAGCAACGTAACTAATAAGAACGTTACTAAACTGCGATTACATCAAACTGCTTATCGCGAAGAAAATTATGCAGAGCATAAAATCGGAGTTATTTTGTCCAGATCGGAGGTAAGGCCATTGAAGGCAGAGTCAGTGATGGAATGAAGTTTACGTGTCGGAACCGCCATCGGTCTACAGCTCTTCGAAATCCTCACACACAAGGAGGAGGAGGAGGAGGAGGAGGAGGAGGAGGAGAAGGAGAAGGGGAAGGAGGAGAAGAAGAAGGAGAAGGAGAAGAAGGAGAAGAAGGAGAAGGAGAAGAAGGAGGAGGAGGAGGAGGAGAAGGAGGAGGAGAAGGAGAAGGAGGAGGAGGAGAAGGAGAAGGAGGAGGAGGACCCTGCAGACGTGCTAAATACTGTGGCCCAAAAATTACTACCTGAAGGGACGTACACGGAATCTGGAAAACCCACTGCAGGAAAACTGGCATCACTTGGCGATGAAACGGCTAGACTCCCCCCACAAAAGTACGAGTATTAACGACGTCATTTTTGAGGAGCAGACTGCAACACTATATAGGAAATCGCACGTACCTGAGTTAACTACAACGGATGAACGTATCCTTGTGTTCAAGCACCGTACCAAGCAAACGATCAGGGGATTGGTGACAAAGCTTCGTGTTCCAGTCCACTTTTCCAAAGCAATGAACGTCAGGTAGCCACTGACAAGATGAGGGCAGATAGGACACAAACCCCGTCTACATTTGGTGGCAAATAGGAAAATCCCTGTCCCTGCCGTAAATCGAACCCCTGTCATCCAGTTTGTAGCCAGTCAGCTGAGTGCGCTGTGCTGAATAAAACCAGTTTAAATCACAGTTGTCACAATTTCAAGGAAAAATATCAGGCGTTTAACATCAGAAAAGAGTTATATAGGTATAGTTGGGGTTCCTCTTGTATAATAAAAAAGACAGGTTCGCAAGCAGTCCTACAGGTGCTACTAGGAGCCGGGATAGCGGCTGGCTACGGGCTGGAGTTCGAGTCCCGGCAGGGTCAAGAATTTTCTCTTCTCCAAGTCGTCCAGACCGGCTCTAGGGTTCACCCAACCTCCGATCCAAT